GCATGGTCGTGAGTTCGAATCCTGGGAGAATTTAATTTTTTGCTTTTTGGTAGTTCATTAACAAAGCATATTTCTAGGCTCTGGGTGCGCGAGATTTAGGCCTGGCTCTCGCTCTAGCGCCGAAGGTAAAGAAAAGGTCCTTGGTCCAGGCTCTTGCGCCGCAGGCAAGGGATGGGTTTTGAGCTAGGCTCTTGCGCCGCAGGCTAAATCTGGGAGAAAAACCAGTAACTAGCACTGCAGGTAAAAAGATTCTAGCGCGTTTAGGCCTGGATCTCGCTCTAGCGCCGCAGGCCAAAGAAAAGGTGCTTGGCCTAGGCTCTCGCGCCGCAGGCCAAATCCTCGAGAAAAACCAGTAACTAGCGCTGCAGGCAAAAAGATTCTAGCGCGAGGTTTAGGCCTGGCTCTCGCTTTAGCGCCGCAGGCCAACGAAAAGGTCCTTGGACCAGGCTCTGGCGCCGCAGGCCAAAGAATGGCTCCTTGACTCACATTCTTGCGCTGCAGGCTAAAAAAAGAAGGTATTCGAATTCATCGTTCCTGGACGGGGTCCAGTGGAAAAGGGCCGCGAAGCGGGCTTTTTCCACTGGTAATCTATAATCTAAATTTCAACAGAAGTCCTTTGCTGGGCCGATCAAATTGAAGTCATCGTCATTCCTAGCTTTTTGCGTTTTTTTTTTTGAAAGACAACTACAAAAACAATTTTGAGAGGACTGGGCACCGACAATTAAAGGTGCTATAATTTTTTAAGTTGATATATTTTTTTGAAACATTTAATTCGTCTTAGGCCAAGAGCTTTCGGTATTTGCCTAAATCGTAAAAATCGGATACTCCTCCGGACCTCTAGAAGGGGGCTTTTTGACCACGCCGTAACCCCGTAACTTATTTTTCGATTCGTGAAAAACGTAAAACGCATTAATTTTCGTGTGTACCCCCACTTACCAGGTAGAAACTATTATTGGAATTTTTAAAAAAATTTGGACGGAATCCCGATTGCGGGTGCCGTCATTTTTCAGTTATTGAACTTTTTTGAAACATAAATTTTTCCAGGTTTGCCGCCAGATGTGCGCCCACCACCTGCCCACGCGTCCGACCGGTCTGACACCGTTGCAAAGCGACAGTTTGTGGCCGTTCCCCCTTGAAGTGTCGCTTGAGCTTCCGCCTCCGCCATCCGCACGAAACGCCCACACGCCACGCGCCGATCAGCTTGACGACTCCTACGAAGAAGAGGTCCTTGAAAATGAGGAGCTTTTCTTCGATGAGGTCATCGAGAGTAGCACAATGCTTGCCGATGACCCAAAAGCACATAAAAAACGCCGGAAAATGCCGAAATCACGCACTAATGGGACGGCTGGGGGAAATGGGCGTGGCCTGGGTCTGGAAGTGAATTTGAGTGCGCCTGATTTGCATGGGAAGGCTTTTTTGGTTGCGAATATTCCGCCGCTTCCCGAGAGGTTTGACAAGAGAGAAGAAAAGGTAAGTTTCACGCTTGAAGAACGCACGAAACTTAATATTTCCACAATTGTTGTCAGGAAAGACATTGGAATACAAACCAAACCTTTGGACGAGCAAGGTAAAACTAGAGCCGGTCAAATATTTGAAAAACTAAGTTTCACGCCTGAACAAAGCGCGAAATTCGGTATTTCCAAAATTTCAACTGACGCTGTTTTTGGGCTACAAACCACACCTATGGACGAGCCAGCGAAAAATATAGCCGTTGCTTTAAAACCAGCCAATAACGCTGAACTACAAGCTACACCTAAGGACGATACTTCGGAAAGTGGACTGAAATTTGCATGGGGAAAGTCATCGCATGGTTTTCGGGAAGAAATACTAATCATAAAAAATTCTACGGAAATGCAAGATTTTTCGAAACATGTTTCAGCTAGCAAAGAATGTGATGGCTTAAAAAAGCACGTTAATAAACATTCCGGTCCAAAATCTACTAATGTCAGCACCGATTTCCATAATAATTTAATCAATTCAAATTTATTTGCACGCACTAATGGCTCCTCTACATTCCAAGAAATCCTAAGCTCAGAAAGTTACTCCAATTCTGCTGTCACGCTTCCTTTAAATGCTTCAAAAAATTTAGAGAAGACTTCTAACGAAATTCCGCATGAAAATAGGGCTCAAAAATCGCAAGAAGATACGCTAGATTCCACTACGCACCAATTTACGCACGAAAATTCACTGCCAGACCCCAACCCAGATCCCTCGAGTTTCGAAAAAACCGCGAATCGCACGAGCCTGGAATGGGAGTATGTTTCTGATTTGGATAGGGCCGGAAATCGAGCAATCGATATCGCTGACATGCCCGAGGAAGCCGAGGTGCACGAGCTCGGCTACCCTGGGCTCCTATTTACACCGGCACGTCGCGTCGCACCCACCGTACCCCAGCAGCCGCAAGATTTAGGTGATAATCAAAGGAGGAAGAACCCCGGAAATCGATCGTACTGGACGGGGTACTGGAGCGGAATTCGGGAGTTGAGGAACCTGGATCTGGGGAGGTGCCAAAAATCGAGCTTGTCGGTGATGATGATGGAAAACCGTCAAAAGCGCTCGTCTCGGATTTGACGGCCGCCCAAGAGCGGCTCAGGCGGATAAAGGCGGAAAATGCGGAGCGGATACGGATTGAGCTGGAGCGGGCTTCGAAGGCTGGCAAGAAATATGCAGAAAATTCCGAATATTTGGAGCTGAAATCGAGTAATGAAGCGGAAAACCCCGACGCACCGATTGAAAAAGATATTTCGGACCCGATTAGTTTGATGAAACATACCGAAAATTCGATAAAAATCGAAAATTCCGGAAATATCGAAAATGAAGATCCTCTAAATTTGATGACACATTCTAATAAACCAGCAAAAGCTCAAGATTATGAAGTTTCCGCAAATCCGGATCCTCTGAATTTGATGAAGCACAGGAAAAATCAGGAAAAAGCAAACGAATATGACGCTTCTGAAAATCCGGATCCCTTAAATTCGATGAAACATGGAAATTCGAAAAATTCCGATGCCACTAACAATGATTCAATCATTCCAGAAGAAACCACGGATCCTCAAAATTTACTAAAACATTCAAATTTCCCACAAAATTCCGATACTCCCGAAAATCAAGCCCCGCCTCTAAAATCCGACTGGAAATCGCGACACCTTCCCAAAAAATCGAACAGAACGGTCACGGTAGTTCCGGAGGGCTCTTTCCGCTTCAAGGCTACGGTAACCACCCGGATTCCAGGCCCGGAAAAGGGCGAAAATCGCGAACAATATGAGAACAAATTCCGGGTCAAGACAATTGGTGGTAAAAAGCCGCAAAAGGGGATTAAGAGCCTGTCAAGTCCGGCCGACTACTCGCAACAGGTGCGGCTGCCCGTCACAATTGCAGGTGCGTTGGCCTTTGCGGCTTTACGGGTGTTTGGCTGATAGTCGAGGGCCGAAAATCATATCTTGTGATTTTTCACGACATTACCTTCAATTGGATATTCCTTAAAGGGACTGGGAAGGCCTTTCTCAGAAACATTATAGCGTAGTAGAAAAATTCATAACCTGTATTCGCGAACTAGGCATTTCATTTGAATTTTAATTTAAGAATGAACTACATGATAAAAAAGGAAACAAAAAAATTACATGTAAAAAATTTTGTTTCGCGAACACGGGTTGTCCGGGGCAAATTTTGGTGCCTACTATGTTCGGCCCAATTTCCCAAATTTAAACATCGTCTTTTCTTGGCAGCAAAAAAATCTAGGCACGGCCAGGAAGCAAAAATGTTTTTAATTTTAATTTTTTTTGTCCACAGAGATCAAACCTTCCAAAAAGAATGAAAAATTACGTAACTAATACGCAACTACTTGCTAATTAATCGACAATTTTTTAATCAATAAGTTCAAATATTGATAAGCGTGTTTCTACGTCACATCGAAGCAGATCAGGTCATGCGGGACCTATTAGAAAAATGTTTCAAAAATTGGTGTTTTTTATGAAATTTCCGGAATGACTATTAATAAAAAAAGCGCTACTGCGAATAAATAGGGATTCTGAAGCACGGCCGCCTTCCCAGTCCCTTCAAAATATAAAATTTAAATACCTCAAAAAATAATTCCGGGTCCTCCAGAAAAACAGCCAAAAACTCGAGACTCTTCACTTTTGTTGTGTTGTTCTGTTTCCGTCAGCTTACACACGCAGCCAGACGCGCACGCTCCGTTTGTTTTTGTGGGTTTTTGAAAATTGGTGAAACATATGAGTTATCCTATCGATTTTCAAAGGAGGGTCGAGAAAATGGATTGGCTTTTTGATGGAAAGATTGCTAAAATAAATTTAAAAGGTTCGGTATATTTTTCTGATTAATAAACACCGACATATTTTGGAATATAAAGGTTTACTGAAACCAGATTTTTTAACGGGACCAAAAATTTGAGTAAGAAATTGACGTTTTCGCACTTTTTTGCAAATTTAAAACGAACATTTGATAAGTGGGCGTCAAAAGTAGCCGCTTTGGAAAATTAGAGCATAAGGATTCATTCAAACTTATTTTTAAAGCCATTTTTCAGTTTTTTTAGACTATTTAGACATCCACTTTTGGATCAATTCCCTGACGTACCCCTTCAAACCAAATTATTCCAAAGTTAAGGTTACACTCTATTAAAGCCTTCCTAAAATTTAGGCTTAATAAAACCGTGGTTTCCTAGCGTATTCCCAGATGGGTCGTTGACGATCAATCATTTCCAAAAAAAAATCAAAAATGATGTTTCGAGTGATCCAAAGTATCGGGGCAGCCAACCAGGAATTAATGTATAAGGCGTAAAGTCCGGTAGTGCGGCGAAAATCTCTTTTCTGCTGTATCAGAACAAACGATCATGGCGCTACAATAAGCTACATAATTACAAAAATGTACAATAAACTCGGAAAAAAGGCTCAAACGTACGAGTTTCTTTTTTGGGAGATAGGAATGTTTCAGAAACATTGGCTACCAGCCACTTACAAGCCCACATAATGTAGCGTCCTCTTCATTCAGACCTTAATCCAAAGTTTTAAGTAATTTTTTCATCAAAAAGCCGGTCAAGAATACTGTATTTCCTCTAATAAAACTTGAGAGAGAGAGAGGGAGAGAGGGAGAGAGAGAGAGAGAGAGAGAGAGATAGCGAGAGAGCGAGAGAGCGAGAGAGAGAGAGAGAACGACTATTAGAGGATATACAGTATTTAATACAATCCAACTCATATCTAATTCCAAGCCCTCTTAGTAACGCATGGCTTTAGGTTGGCCGCATCGTCCAACTACCCATGGCTGGCCGCGGCACCACCAAGCATGAAAACGCAGCAATCCCCCCTCTAAAAACCCTTCAACATTTTTTTATTAATTCTCTGTCCCATTGTCCAATTCGTCATTGTCCATTATTTTTTATGCTAATTTTTGTATGTTGTCAAGCCTATTTTCTTGCTTGATGATTTTAGTGATTTTGTAGATTTTTTGGAACTTGTAAATTTATCCGTGCTTTCGTTTGATAAAGCTAATTAGCATCCCATGGTTACGGTAGTTACAAAATGCACAGTATTGACCAGAAAAACTAAAAAATTCTAAATTTTAGGATGTTTTCTGAATTTAATAAAATTATTTAAATCTAGTTATAAATGAAGTAAATTAAAAGAATTAAATTCTAAATTGAATAAATTAGTGAAATTTAACTGAATTCTACATTTTTTTGATTAAATTTAATAAAATTGATTTTAGTAAACGCAACGTGAATAAAATTTTTGTTTTTATGGAATTAGTGGTTAAAAGCTAAATAGAATGTAAATTTAAGGAAAAGAATTGAAGGAAATTACGAGGCGGTGTATCACTTTTCTTTTTAATTTACGATAAAACATGTCTTCGTAAAAAAATTTCGGCTTGAGTGTGCGTATGGCTTCGAATTCGTTTGAGCAGGCACTAAAATTACGCAAAAAAATTCGACTACATTTTTGTGTCTTTTCAGACGAATGCCTGGACGAATTCGACGCCAATATCACCAAGTCGTGCATGTTCGAACGGCAGTGGAAGAATAGGTATCACTCACGGCTTTTCATAAATTTAGATATTAGCAAAATGCCTATATTATCGGTGGAAGTGCAGATAATCCTACTATATATAAAAAAATAGTGTTTGTGTGTGTGTGTGTGTGTGTGTGCATTTGCATGCAACTTCCGTCCGTATGTTCCAGCCGTATCTCAATAGGAGAGGAAGTTAAAAGTACGTATGATACGTCATTAGGTGCGTAATGGTCATGACACGACTGCACACCTATCAGATTTTTCAAAATCAGCTGTTTTCGACATTAAAAATATGTTTTTGTCAAAATCTCGCTCGGCCTCTTTGTTAGGAATCAATTTGCATACGCCGGAAGTGAAGAGAGCCTATATAAAGACGGGAGGGCGAGTGATTTTCATTTTTTGTTCGGGGCAGGCGGGTGTGATTATGCAAAGTAGGGCCGTCATGGGGCCTAGACGGGGCCAGGGTTGAAAAGTCGCGAAGCGGCTTTTCAACCCTGGTGATACACTAAAATAGTCCTAGTTTAATTTAAAGTGTTTTGCGAATCTTCCGAATTTTGGGCTAGTTTAAAAAAATAAATGTTGCAATTTATTGTCTGAATAACTTTATAATTGAAAAGTTACTATACTCCATTTACACGCTCACAAAATCGCGACAAAAAAAGACAGAGGTGAAGGCGCGCGGGTCATATGTCGGTTCCTTTTCATTATCAGGGGATCAGCTATTACATAGTACACAATTTTTCAAATATTAATAGCCAAAGCACAAACCACAAAAGAGACTAGCCTTTAATCTGCTAAAAAGTTTTAAAAAGCTACAATTAATAATTTAAACATTCACTGGCTGAAGCCGACCTTGGCTAAATTCTTTATTGAATGTTATAAGAAGTTAAAATACAGTATATAAAGCTTATTACCTTGGTAGTACATATCGACAACTGCTAAAGTAACGGAAATTTACAATCTAAAGGTTGTTAGTTAATCTATAAAATCAAAAGTTTTAATTTGAAAGTTACAGTGTTTCATAAAAAAATGTTGCATGGATTTCAGAGACGATATTGATAGAAATCCGAGCACTTAATCATCAACTCAAAAAGTCATACCTTCAAGTTAAAAATTTAATGTAAAAGAGTGGTTGCAAAAATTTGGTAAAGTTCACGGATGTGAAGCTACTGTATTAAAACAGCTGGCGTAGTTTCATTACTCGTTTTTAAGGTATTTCTTCGACAAGGAGACGCGTACGTGCCGGATGTTTTGGTGGGATGGGTGCTTCTCGAAATCGCGGAATATGTTTCAAGATGAGGAGAGCTGCCGGTGGAAATGTCTGGGGAAACACCCGAAGAAGCGGGAAGGAGGTAGACATTTAAAGGGGATTAAAAGCCAAAAAAAGCAAATTGCCGTTGTGACATTATATCCCAGCAGAAAGGGAGCGAGTTTTAGAGAGAACGACTCGAAGGAATAAAGCTTCAGTATTTTTCCCAACTTGTTATCGGAACGAAACATTTTTTCTTTTTTCTTTTTTTTTTCCGGCGCTTGTGCATTAGATTCCTACTAAATTTTTTTTAGTGTTTTTAGTAATATGTGACTATTTGCAAGTGGGAAACTGTCCCAAAATTCAAAGAATGCTGAATTTTTGTTGGAAATCGGCAAATCTTGGTCGGAAAATCGTTAGCGTACCTTCGGAAATCGTCGTCGTCGTCGTCGTCGGAAACGAAGTTTTTATTGTTTAGAAACAAGATGTTAAATAACGGACGGTATTTTTCCCATGATAAAAGGTACATGGGTTTTGGTCGAAGCGATCGCTTTAATATAATTGCCATCATGAAGTCGCTGACTAATCAAAACCCCCTCGACCCGCAAGGCTGAAAACCGAGAAACGCTTTTTTTCAGAAAGCTGTTTGGACCAATTCGACACAACATATCTGGGCGATTGCCGGGCTGGACATTTCGAGAATCGCTTCTACTTTGATTTCGCTACAAAACAGGTGGTTTTGAGCGCTTAAAGGGACTCCGAAATCTGGTCAGATTCCTGGCAAATAACCAGATGCGACTGCAACGCGACCGCGCCGCATGATCTTGGGCACTTGTTTGGACGTGAAAACGCTTGAATTTCAAAATTCTGACGCTATTCCTGGAATCTTAAACGAATTTTGTTCATTCTGGGCGATTCAATTACGAAAATTGATCTGAGAATCACCGAGTTCGAGAGATTGAGTGCCCGACAAGGCATTACGACATGTAATCGCCGCGCGCTCAAAATTTCGTTTTCGCCCTGAAACGTTTCGGTTTTACTCAAATATTTTACGTTTTTGCAACGAAATCAATTTTCTGGTAATTCTCGGAAGTGAGCCTTTCGTTTTTTGAACACGAGGTTCAATCCGCCGGACACCGACCGTTTTAAAAATTCTCTATTCCCTAAACGATTCTCTTTAGAAGATTCTAAAAAAGTAAGGCTTGTTTACAATTTTTACTGGAACTGGATTCTCTATGTGTAATGGGGCGTGCTGAATAGGAGGTGGTTTAGCCATCCGGTCCGTCACTACATTGGAACGGCTGCGCGACCTGGCAGCCAGAATTTAAGCGAAACATTTTTGTGTAAGATAGAATTTTTATCGATACTGACTGACTATATTGTATCTACCTGGGTGGATGTTGGAAGATTTTATCGTCAGTTTATTTATCGTCGTTTTACTGTTTATCTATTTTATTTTAAACCCTAAAATATTTTTTAATAATCTTATGTTTGGCACTAAAATGGCGTTACAAGGCAGAAGTACTCCATGCTCGGATACACCGATTAGGAATTCACGCCGGTTTTTCGCGTTTATTTTTCACGAAACATATATTGCGTCAAAAACCTTTGTTACCTAAGTGAATACAGAAATTGCTGAATTTAATATCTAGAGGTTTATTTATAATTTACTGTTTTTTATACAATGAAATCTAGCTTAATTTTCCCGTATTTAGTGCACGACATTCAAATGGGCCGGCTGCCGTAGCGAGTCGAGGAATTTTTTCGACGACATCTCGGAGTGTCAGAGGGTGTGCGAGAGTCCGCCTAGGGAGCTTGTTGGTATGTATTAAATTTATATAAATAGATACTTAAAACGGTAGTATATACAGGGTGTCCCAAAAAAAACGACCCATGTGGTATTTCGCCGGGTTACATCCAATCGGTCCCAAAATTCGACGAGAGGTGTATCATACTCTAAATAACAACAATCCTGACTTACAGCCCCATAGCTACAGTCGTTTTAAAGTTATAACGAAAATACTGTTTTTCCCGGAATTCTGAACAGTTTTATCGGCTATCTTTTTGGACTTTGCATCAATTTGCATCGACTTCCGGCTGTGAATCGCTAATTTCGCTCAGGCCTGGGTCAGGCCGGCCCGGGCCGGCCCAAAGGTCAAAATTTTCGGCCCGGCCCTAATTTCTGACCTTAACTAAAGCCATGCATCAGAGGAGTCCTGACATCAGCTGAGAGTACGTTTTAATGTCTCAGGTCATGCCAAATGGCATTGCAGCTATTTCAGATTGTTTCCGGTAGAAAAAAGCAAAAAGCAAAAAATTGACCTCGGGCGGGGTCGAACCCGGGTCGTTTTCCTGGTAAGCGATTTTGATCAAAAATGCTTTTTTTTTCTGTTTAAGCTGTGTAGATAGATAGCGTAATCCTTATACATGCGGAAATAGTAAAGATTAGCTTTATATAACCACATTTGAATTGATTTCTAATTCGTGCAGAAAGGTCGGGCCGGCCCTGAAAATTCGAGGGCCGGCCCGGGGCCGGCCCGGCCCTGAAAAATCGCGAAAATCTCGGCCCGGCCCGGCCCTAAAAATTCCCAGGCCTGATTTCGCTTAAGAACTTGCGTAGTTTTGCGTTGTCAAAATCGCTTAAATCCAAGCTTATTTAATTAATTTTACTCTGAAAAAAATTTCTTACGGTAAAGAAGGCCTGCCGGATCATTTTCGCTTAATGTTTAGGGGGTCTAATTCCACGAAAACCCTATGAAAAATGGAAAATAAAGTTTGTTTTTGCTATGACTCGAAAACGACTGTAGCTACCGGGCTATAAGTCAGGATTGTTGTTATTTAGGGTCTGATACACCTCTGGTCCAAATTTGGGACCGATTGGATGTAACACGGCGAAATGCCAGATGGGTCGTTTTTTTTGGGACACCCTGTAGATACTTAACGTAAAATGAGGGGAATTTCAACCACTTTTACGAAAATGAAAAAATGTTTCAAAAATCTTGTGGGTGAAACATGATTGTATCGGATTAATAGCACGTCGTCTCAAGGACTATCATCAGGCAAGCTTGCAGAGATTCTTTAAAACCGCAACCGTAATTGATCTTTTTTTCAGGTTTCTGGGATAATTGTCATTGGCAGGGCAGGCTAGCAGTATCCATTTGGGGAAAATAAAAAAATCAATCCAGATGCTAACTATTTTCTGGATTTAATAAGTTAGTCCCTGGCAGGCTAGCAGAGGAAATTTTAGGAAAGAGGGATGGCCGAGTATCTGGAAAATTTGGGCGGGAAATCTTTTTAGCAAATTAATACATTTTGTTTATGTTATTTTAGTTTTTATGATTTTTTTAAATTTTTGTGGATGCTAAAATAAAGTTATTATGTAAATAAATCACTGTTGTGTGTTCAGAATCCTGCCTCCAGCCATTCGACCATGGCTATGAGGGCTCCTGTCTTTCCGACGGCCGATTCCATCAGTATTACTTTTACGATATTGAGACGCACACCTGCAAAATGTTTTGGTATGTTAACATTAAATAATTTTTCTAATTCAAACTAGCTAAGTTTTTTTGTTTGGCTCGTTGTCTTTAATCACATGATCCAATTATACTCAGCGATAAACTTCTACAAAACACTTGTTTCTAACGAAACTGAAAACCACTTTAAATGGGTAAATTCTAGTTAACGTTTGTCTTTAAAAAATTCGTTTCATAAAATCTTAAAAATTAAAATATACGGTAGCTGGTATGCCGTGGAAGAAATCACCTAGCCAAGGACTTTGTAAAAGGCAACATTGCTGCTACGGCTAATTAAAATGCCGCTACGAAGAATGTTTCAAAAACTTTCGAAGAAAGGGGGGCACCCGTCTGACTCATCAGACTCAATCTTGGACGCTTCACTTTCCTAAAAAACTGAAAATCTTTTTTGTATAAAATTCTGACTGAATAAGTAACGGACTAGCGGCTTCCGGATTCCGCCTGCTCCCGATTTTACAAATTCTAGTTAGAATACTTATTTTTCAAACATGTGTTTCAAAACATCGTATGAAAAAAAAAATCGAGTAGCTGCCATTGGGTAAACGAAAGTATGTGATTAATAAACAGTTCTTTTCTTTTGTACTATGCAACATTTCTGATTCCGTCAATTAATATATGGTTGCGAAAGCATGTTTCAGAAATATTAAAATTAAAGGCCGGTACTGCAAAAGTAATGCAAGCGCAGATCACATTTAGAATCATACATTTCCAAAGCCAAAATAAAAAATGTATTACAAATTCCGCTACCACAAAATATTGGTTTCCAAATTCTCGATGCTGCGATTATGAAATCTCACGATTCTGTATCCTTTCGATGCTCACGAACAATTTTCTGGATTATGCTGAATTTTTTTATTTAAAAAATTTATTTTCAGAGCTTGAAAAATAGCCTCGACTTATATTTTTCATTAATTTCAGGTACGGTAACTGCCGGCGTACAAGCCAGAATATATTCCCGGATTTGGCGAGTTGCCAATGGGTCTGCGAGCGGGATGTGATAGAGAGGCAGCAAGGTTGGTGTTGCAAGATACCAATTGTTCACTAAATCCACCTTTGCGACTTTTTCGATCAATTTTTGCGAAACATTTTTTATTTTTTTCGTAGGTTAAAAAGTTTAATTAACTAAGTTAAGTGTTAAAGTTAAGAAGAATTAATTAAGTTAAATTTGGAAAATGTCGTATGTAAGAAAAAAGTGCTATTAAGAAGTGCTGGGTGATGATTCGGTACTGGACCATTCGTACCATTTAAGCGTAATGGCTACAATAATGTAAATGGTAGATTGGCGAATCCAAACCTACTTTCTGATTCCTTTAGGCTAAAAAATTAAAAAAGTAAAGGAAAAATGGTTATTTTCTTCTATCGGGATTTAATAATGGTTATACAAAATTGCACTGTTGAAGAACTTTTTAACGACATTTATTTGGGAAACATATTTCACGAAAATTTCAGACAGCTGCCTCGACGAGTTCGACACACACTACGAAGATTCCTGTGGACAGGGGAGCTGGATGGAAAAGTGGAGGTTTGAAGTAAGTATTATGGGTTTTGCACTTTTAAAGCGACAGTGACAGCTATGTCGTCAGATGCAAAAACAGCTCGAAGCAAAAATGATTTTTAAACTACTTTAAATTTGAAAATTTAGAGAGAGAGAGTGAGTGAGAGAGAGCGCTAGAGAGAGAGAAAGCGAGAGAGAGACCGAGATAAAAAAAACAAATGGGTCGAAAACGCATACATAATACAAAGTTTCGTTTGCTCGAAATCGCCTTAAACCCTGTAACATCCTTTTTATAGCATAAAAGCGGCCGCTGCGTCTCGTTCTGGTTTGACCAGTGCGTCTCGAAAAGCCAGAATATTTTCCCGGATTTTGCGTCTTGTTCCAGGCAATGCGAGGAACCAGGTATTCTGATCGGTTTTAATAGTTTAATTTTCGCGTTTTTAAATGGTTTAAATATTTTCGATTTTTCCTCACTTCAAACCTATTGTGGCGAGATTCTGATTACAATTTCTTGCGTTTCCCTAAAATTGACATTTACTGAAACACGAGTTTTTAAATTTCCGGTTGTTTTTTATTGAATTTTGCTTTCATTTTTGTTTTTTTTGACAGTAAGATCCGTTTTTAAACCTCGCAAATCCGATCCGAATTGCAATTTCCCCAATATTCCTCGATTGACGATTTTCTGAAACATCCCTTTTTGCAGGGCTGCATCAGTTGGCTCGGTTCGAGAATGCTGAATCGAGCTTTCGCTGTCTGGAGCCGAAACTGATCGGTGACTGCCGGGAAACGTAGGTTATTTTGTTGAAAACAGATTTTTGTAGGTCATTCGAGTACTTTTGCAGTATCGGGGAGAAATAATTTTTTTTGGATGTTCCCAAAGTCCTTTTGAAGGTTTCAAGGAATCGCCTCGCAGATTTCCGGAAGCCGATTGTAATTCCGGGGGTTAACATGAATCGCATTTTTTTGTTTAATTTTTGTCTTTTGAATAATTTGCTGCAATCACCTTTTATCGAACTATCTACCTGAAATATTCGATGAAATAGCCTTTACTTGATGATTTGATTGATTTAATCCGATCAGGTGCTTTTGCATTATCGGAAGAACCGATTGTTTTTTTGTAGGAGTCCAGAGTTGCCCAGCAATGTATGGACACGCCTTTTAATAGTGTTTTAGACTAGATTTCAAGCGGAAAAACAATTCAAAAAGCTTTAACAATTTGAAATATTGGTCGTCAAGTCGCTATTTTTATTTTTAAGGCTTGATTTTTATTTTTATGAAACTATGAAAAATTTAGGAATGTTTCGAATATTGTCCCCTACGCTCCGCGACGCTGCTTTCGACGCTTTTTTTACTTCTTTTCGTAATTCCTGAAGCTCGGCTTCAAGAGGCAATTCCAAAACTTAGATTATCAAAATTAACAACTTTGTATTTTATGGAATGTTTCAAAACTGTGGTTTTCAAAATCAGAAAAGCTTGTTTTAATAATGGCTTTAATTTTAATAATTGGTGATACGAAATTTTTGGCTATGCAGATTCACGATTACTCCGAAAACCGGGAAGTCAGAAATGGCGATGACTTTGGAATCTTCATTAGCATGTAATTTGCAAGCGCGAAGTTGATGGCAATTGTATGTAAAGTGTGTCCATATCTTTTTGACACTTCTGTTTTTTACCCTGTTTTCTTCTCTCGCTTATAAAAATGGCGTTATTTATTTTAGCGATATTTCAAGTACATCAAAAAATGCGCCGTTGCAAGCTCTACAAGACCCACTATTTGACTTCTGTTCTAAATCGAAAAGGGTCGTGATAATCGAGAAAAAAGAAGGGCCCCTATCTTTTTGACACACACTGTATTCATCTAGTCCCATTCTCCGTTTCCCAAATCCAATTTTAATCGACTCTTAGAAAAAGATGTATCGAGATAGTCTCTTCAATAGGGCCCCTTAGCTAATTGTAATCATATTGTGCGGAAATGCCACGCCCTGAAATTCTCAAACAAAATTTTGATCCGAATTTGAGGTGGTAGGGTCGTGTAAGCGTATTCACTAAAAGTACAAAATCCCTAATCGAGGGCACATGGTTTCGTAGTCATTCGTTAATGTCCCACCACATTTAATTAACGCGGTAATTAATATAGGTTCTTTGAAATGATCTATCAGACTCACCGGTTTAAAGGGGCCGGCAAAGCATATCTATGGATTTAATAAGCTAGGACATTAAACGGATTCAATGGAGGATTTAACGTATATGCCACTTTTTGCCTAATCGATTACGACGGCTACATGAAGCCGTGGAATCCAGAAAATGAAAAGGATAAAAAATCAATAGCATTCATGCCTGAAAAAATTTTCGATGTTTAAAGAAACACAAAAAGCGCGTAGAACAAGAAGATGCTTCAAAGACTCACCTATCTGGGTTCTCGAAGTACTGCAATTCGAACGCTTCGAATGTAGCGCATTTTTGCACTTAAACTTTACTTACGACTATTTTTTAGGGTAGCATCATATAATGTTTCATTGAGCGCATCTTTTATCGGATTATATAATTGAATTTACTGATTTAAACTAATGAAAGCAAGCGCTATGAGCGTTTTAACAAAAGTGGAAAAACGAGTTTCAATGCTTGGCCCATAATATTCCTGGAACCGCACCGCAATTTCTAGATGTAGCAGAAGAAGATTGAATATTTTCTTTAGCATTTCTTCGGACTGAATCGCTAATTTGAGTTGGGTTTCTTTATTTCGCCTATTTGGCGATAACCCTATCGTAATATTAGTGCTTTATTTTCGCAATTGATACTACTTAAGCGACAGCGAAAAATATTTGGGTAAAAACTGCAAACACGGAAAATGTTTCACAGATTGGGTCAGGATATTTTTAGAATCGTACTGCAAATATAGGTTTTTTTCCGTTTGTGTTCCTTCTCATTAAGAAAAACGCGGCCGATTTAGCAGTAAAAAGCGGGTTTAGGAAAATCAAGGCACGTACCTATTTATACGCGATGCTTTTCCTATTATTTTTATTTCTGAAGCCCTTAATTTAAAAAAAATTTTTCAAAACGGCTCTGAATCTATAGACGAAGCGTGGACCTGGGAGATACCTGGAAATACGTTTTCAACACTACTCTTTTGTGTGTTTCAAGCATTCGCCTTACCAAGTTGTGGAAGCCAAGTGCAATTCCAGTGGGATTTTACCATCACTCGTAATTTTTTGTGTAATTTCGGTCTTTCGTATCCTTGTAGGCAGAACCATATAAGGTTTCGCGTAAAGTGCCTTATGTCGAACTAAAACTAACGAACGCATAAGCTCCAAACATTTTGTTAAAGACCGGAAAAATAAGCGTTTCAAGGACTGGTCGTTGCTATTCTCGGAATCACACCGCAATAGTTTTAAGTAGTCGGCAGGATTGAATATTCAATAGCGTTTCTATTCCGAATATTTGTAGAAAGCCTATCTTACGCTTAAATCTATACCTTCGCAGTTTTTACTACGGAAGCTACAGCTAAAAATGTTTTGAGAAAAACTGCAAAAAAAAAGAAAAAATGTTTGAAAATTGCGCCACGATATCCCTGGAATAGCACCGCAATTCGTGATTGCTTAGTACTTTAGTTCCGTTTTATTTTCCTTAAGAAAGCAACGCGCGCGATTTAGCGCGAAAAGTGGGTTTTGGAAAATCAAGAAGCAAGAATGCCAGCAGGCGCTCATTTCATACGTGATGCTTTTCCTACTATTTTGTTAATTAAAAAAAAATCGACCTTTCAAGTCAAATTTAAATGTTTAAAAATTCGGATGCTTCACTTTTGAATGTTGCGAAGATTCGCCTACCAAATTGCTGATATCGTACTGCAATTCCAAGGGCGTTCCCATGAATCGCATTTTTTCATAAATAAATCAACGCAAGATTTATTAAACCATTTAATTCTTATATATTTAATTCCAGATACCCAGCCTACTACTACGACCGTCAGCTCCGCGAATGCCGCCCCTTTGCCTACTCGGGATGTGGGGGCAATGGGAATCGGTTTATGACACTCTCCCAATGCGAACAAACATGTTTCGAATTCAATTCACTATCGGGTGGGTGTTTTCTTAATTGATTTGCACGAATACCAGCCAGCCTATAAAATTCTCCGAACAGTCTTTTTCAAAAATTGCTTTAATGTTTCACTGATATCACCAATTATGCAAGCGTCCAAATGTTTAATGCCAAGAAGGAGATGCGATTATCGACGGTCATACCGCTTACATTTGGCAGCAACTATTTTCGCTTCCGCATCCGAAATTTCACCAAAATTTTCCGCACCCGAAAGAATGTTCCGATATCTTTGATTTAGTAAATTTTTTGAATTAAATTGATAATTACTTTACCTTATTATAAAGTTAATTTGGTTTGATAAGGGGTTTCATTACCTGATAATTATTTTAACGATTGTCAATGATTTCAATTTTTTTTAATTTTAAGTACATTTTGAATCTTTCTAACATCTTAAATTCTATCGGTCGGTAGACTTGGGCAAAAACAAGCTTCATAAAAATTTAAAAATTTCTAGTAATTGTTAACAACAATAGCTCAAGAGCGAGACCTTCTACAAAAAGCCGCGCGAGGCAAAGGAAGTTTAAATGGCGATCATGCAATTAAGGAAGTCGATAAAAAGAAAATGAAGTGTGGTCAAATGCGGCGCCAATAAACAATAATTTCTTTGAAAACTCGCTTTTTAGATAGCTGATTGAAACATGAAAAATTATAAAATATAGATTCCTGATGCTTGAGTCTAGAATCTTGCCGCAATGTGAAAAACCTTAATGAGAATTGGAAGGTTGCGAACAAATTTAGAACAATAGAATTTAATATATGCGCCACAGTCAAAATCTTAATAAATATATGTTACGGGCAAAAGCTAACAAAAAAAACTATTGTGGAAAACATTGCTTGAGTCCTAGGTCACTTATACACTTACTTAACATAAAAAATTTCGGCATTGTCGTCAGTTCCCTATTTAAGTTTTCTAATTCGACTTAATTTAGACCCCGAGATGGACTGCTACGAGTCGCTGGACGTCGGCTACGGTAGAAATGAAGCGGACTGCGTGGAGAGCTCCGGGTTTCGATACTATTTTGACCGAGATTTTTGTGAGTTTCAATAAGTTATAGTGCGTACAATTCTTTATTCCAATTATTGGTCTAGTAAAATACGCAGTTGTTTGTAAAATTCAATCCCAAATTGAACCATTGATCCTTTAATTGATGGAGCCTTCCAATTCACTTTTTCACGCTGGGTAATTCGTTATGATCCGTTATGACCTCCCAGACTTTCGAAAATCCGAATCTGGAGAAATAGCGACATTTCGAGGTTATTAAAATGCGAGAATATAAAATAAGAAAAAGGCGATACAAAGACAAGAAAAAGACAGAACATTTAAGATTCGAAAATTCTAGATTCTGAAAATTGGAGCTCGGTTTTTCAAGATTCGCATAGGAAATCGTGAGAAGTCAGGTTTTCCATGGACAATATTCGGTATCGCTCTATTTTGGCGCGATTTTCATTCTATCAGGCTGGACCGAAAGTATTTACAATCGATCTTCAAGCCGGTTTTGTAAGAATGTTTACCACCCGGCCGCCGGGGTTTTTACACTGATAGTTCAGCCTAAGATGATACTATAGCACATAAAAATATTTAGTCGATTCAGCCTAGATTTATTTTTCTATGACCGGTTCTCCCTGAGACACTGGTCGACCCGACGCGGCGGCATCCGCGAGCCCTCTGCTCTTCGAGCCTTATGAAAATTTCTAAAGTCAGAACTCTCCCAGCATAACCGGCGGTTTATAGGGCCAGTATCATATCTTTCAATCTACGGCGCCAGATTCGCCAAACAACTATAGAGCTTGTTGTTATTGTCTTTGGTATGGAATATATCAATTCAACGACGACCGCCAATTTAGAAGCGCTCCACCTATTTTGTAAAACATTTAATTGCAAACGCTGTGACGACGCCATTTATCAAGCCGCTTGCTTTCACGGGAAAAATTTTTGCAACCTAATGTAACGCCGAGTAACCGACATGGGAACTGGCATCGTCATTATATTTCGCTTTTATTCTTAAATCCCTGGTGATCAAATTTTTTCGACAAAACACGGAAATTACACACCAACAGTAAATAAGGTTCTCAAATTATCATTGCCCCAAACCCATTAGTTGAGTTTGAGAATCCCAAAACAAAATTGTGTTGGAAAATCTGAGTTTATGCTCTTCTGCGGCCCGGTATAAGAGATTTGTTCCTAGGAAATATACGCATTTGAAACAGTGATAACCAAGCTACATATCGCTAAAAAACACTTAAAAAGTTAGCCACCAAACTCGGAGAAAACGGCCGACGAAGGGATTTGTCATTTTGGGGCCCGAAACCCCCAATTTGACATCTTTCTAAATCGAGCAGGAAAAAGGTATTAGGCCACCTATTTAAATTTTGTTCGATACATTGTATAGTATTACTGCTGCTCTATCTGCTATTAATTATTCACGTAGCTGTAGCCTCATCGGCGGACAACATTATTACGAAACCTAAAATGAGCGAAAAGTACAACGTGCAGGGTTTATGCCTCATAACTTCAAATGTAGCAAAAGAGGGAAGTTCAAATCGCGCGTGCAGGAAGATCATACTTAACTCTCAATCTTGCTAAAATATGACAAAGATAGGATGGCTGCTTTCATAAATTTTTTGCGTCCGAAAAACTGTAATTACTTTCGGTCCAACCTGATAATATATCGATCGTATGAGAGAACACCGTAAGGATTTTTGAGCTCGAGCGAACAGATACAAGTTCCATACGCACTGATGCTCAGATAATGTCAAGTGTCCTTCGGTCCACTCAATAACATTTCTCGAAACATTCCTTTTTCAGTGACCTGCTCGAAATTCTGGTATGTCGGTTGTGGGGGGAATGCGAACAACTTCTACTCGTATGATGTATGTCAGAGGACATGTCGAGACTCTAGGCGACTCCCGAAACGTGACGCTCCTGATATTTCGGGTAAGTATGGGCTTTTAAAGGGCCGGTGAAGCAAAGAAACGATGGCAATACCCCTCGAGCCAAAAATTCCTTTATTGGTTCCGCTTTAAATTTCCAAATTAAAACTCGAAAAATTTAGAGTTCGTGTTTTAAGAACAAAACTTTGTTCCTAAAAAAAAATGTTTCGTAGTGTTGCACTGCGATAGAGAGAATGGAATTACCAATCCAGTAAATCGATGCGTTGTTAAAAATAGATTTTAGGTTACCCTCAATTCTCTTTAGAGCTATCAAAGCGTCCGATTTTTTGAGGCTATTTTTATCAGTTCTCAAGGGACCCGTTAAAAAACATTTATTTCGACAAAATGATCTTCGACAACATCGTTCACAAGAGTCAATTTGAAAAATCTGACGTCATTTCTGGAATCTATAAGCGATTTTTTTCATTTTAGCTTTTTCAATTTTCAAAAATGGCCCCGAAGCCGATAAAATGTCTTGACGCAATGAATTAAATTTATGCTTTGTATCTGTACTTTACCTCTATTTAAGTGTGTTTCGACGTGCCGGCAGATCGCGGGCGCTGCCATGGCAATAATTCCCTGCCCGTCCAGCGATACACGTATGCTAATGGAAAGTGTACGGTATTCTCCTACAGTGGATGTGGTGGATCGGCCAACCGGTGGGTTCAGTTTTGCGAATATCTTTCAGAAAAATATGTGTTTCGTTTAGAAGTAATATTATCGGTAAGGTTAAAATTATAATCTAGCGATTACGGTATTTGGATGAAATGTAAAATAATCTAAAAATTAATTGGATAAAATTTAAACTAACACACCGGCTCGATATTTTAGATCAGAACCGTTCAGGCCCGGCACAATTAGTCGTTCGAATCCAAAATGTGTTTCAGCGCTCGCGAAAGTTTAATCGTGCTCTGCATTGACCAAGAAAAAAACGCAAAAATCGATTAAAGCATGCGTAAATGGCCGAATGATTACGGTATGGAAGAAACCCACAAATTTTCGCAGATATGCGGCGGAATCCAAGACCAAACAAGCCGATATACAGGGTGTCCCAATAAAAAACACCCCCTCTAACTCGACGTAGAAGTATCGGATCGCAATGATAGTTACACCATTCGAAAGCCCTTGAAATGGCGAGTTTGCCGCAATGGTGGTAACCGCGTTTTTATTTAAATGCTCGATTTTACAAGGCGTTTGTAAAAATTTACCGTTTTTCGGGGTTGCATACGAGCGAATTTGCCTCAATTTCTCCATACAAAATGACCGGCAGTAGCCGTTAATTAGATGCAGAGGCCGTTCCTTATTGTTTTTAAATGACTTGTAGAAGCGGCGCGTTGCAATCCTACTATATATAAAAAAATAGTGTCTGTGTGTGTGTGCCACTTTGCATCCACTTCAGTATCGTTGTTCCAGTCGTATCTCTATAGGGGAAGAAGTTAGGGGTGGGTACGATATGTCATTAGGTGCGTAATGGTCTAGGGATGACTGCCCACATATAAGATTTTTAAAAATCAGCCATTTTCGATATTAAATTTAATTTTTTGTCAAACCCTCTTCGCTACGAAAAATTAGCATTGACCGGAAGTGGGAAGCCGCCTATATAAAGGGTCAGAAAGGAATCATTTTCATTTTTTTGGTCATCTGAATTCAGGGCAATTATGCAAAGCGTAGAACAGCATGCGGTCCAAGACGGGGGTAAAAACATGATTTTGAAAATTGTGGCAAACTGGCCGTTTGAAGGGCTTTCGAATGGTATAAAGATCATCCCGATCCGATATTTTTCCATCGAGTTAGAGGGGGTGTTTTTTCTTATTGGGACACCCTGTATGGGCGTTTTTACCTTTTGTTTTACCCATTGCCCATGTTTTTCAAGCTATTGTCCATGTGTTTCAACCCAAACTATCCCTATGCTTTTCGTAAAAAGAATAGTGGCCGAGATCGCGTCGTTTTTCCTAAAAATATTCTTGTTTTTTTTTTTGATAAAATCAAACTTACCTGCCAATTCTATTGCCGCGACCAGCGTTCCAAAAATTTTACAGAAGTGATACCCGAGTAGGCGAAAAAATGCATCGCCTAGAAAAAAATATTTTTTCGGAGAAATTCATGGGTGTCGTAGTGGTCGCGGCTGTGATCGGCAAAAAATATCGGCATACACCTAAATCGCGCCCAAAATTGGGTCAGTCACGGAAAACTCGAAGGTTAAGCCGCAAATTTTTCTCGGATATGGTTAAAAGCTTAAAAAATAAAAACTCTTGGAAACGGTTAAAGTTGAAGTTAAAAAGGTAAAGTAGATTTAACAAAACGAATTAAAAAGTGGTTCCGCTTCATTTATATTTATCTGAATTAAGTGATGTATGGCACTACTATATTATACAAGTTTTCTTTTCGCACCCCTCAAGGTTTTATTTTGTAAATGCCAGCCTTGAAAAAGTGGCAACGACTGGGGAGGCTCCCCCGTAAATATACCCGGAAACTAGGTCAAAGTGGAGTGACAACTTTGAAAAGTGAACTCGCACCGATTGGGGAGGCTCGCGCCCCCAAACCTTGACAAGCGCGTAACGAGCGCTTGACGAGCGGTTGACGAGCGGTTAACGAGCGGTTGACGAATCCTTAAGGTCAGCCTAAGGAGTGACAGCTAGCCCTGTATAAAAACAGCCCCACAGTGCGGGAACCCATTCTGTGATCCTCCGGATTTTTCAGAGCTACCTATTCCAGAGCTACAGTTTTTTACTTTTTCTTTACGCGATTTTAGCGTTTCCTTTATCTTGCTTTACCTTACGCGCTTTTCGCGCTCTCTTTTTACCTTGTTTGAAGCGTTTTTACAGTTTTACCCAATGAAACGTTCGAGATCCCCTGAATTTACTCGAAGATTGGTAGACTACAGCCCTTCCCCGTCTCCTACACCACCTCAACAACTGGAAGATCCGGAAATTCAGGTTGGCCTTGGGGGAAAATGGTCTTTGACACCCAGGGAACCGGATAGGACTTATTCTGACAATGAACTTAACTGTTTTGACAATGCAGGCCTTCTAAAAAAGTTTCATGAGAAATTGAATGCTTATACCTATGAAAATGTCATCACTTGGGAGAAATTAGCTGGCAAAATAGAGTTAGGATTCCTAGAACAAACCTTCCAAATAGCTTTGAACACCATTTTGAAGGACTATGTGACCGAAACCGGCGAGGATATAGATACCGTAGAGTTTTTCTGTCGCGTTAGAGCATAAATCTCTGAAAGAGGCCGGTAAGAAAGGATGTTATCTTCCCCTAGAACACGTGATATGAACGATAGCCATGCCCTCTTTGGTATTTTTGAAAAAATGGCGCAAAGCAATGAACATTACACTTTAGACGAGAATATGAGGATCGTTGTGAACATTAAACCAGCCTTAGCGGGGGGTGGCAGACGGGATAAGACAAATATTTTGCAAGGCGAGCCCCCCATACCAGATAATCTATGTCTTCTACGGGCGCTTGCACGCTCAATTGTAAACGCAGATTTAGAAATGCTTCCCACCCGAGATCCGAAGTGCTATACAAATGGTAGTTACGAAAAACTTAAAAAGGAACTCGACCGGATCTGTGTTAGTTGGGAACATGCCAATCTTTTAGGGCTAGAACTTGCCGCAAAAAGCTTCCCAAATTTTTGTCCCAAGGATGCCAAACCCATGTCGTTACGGGAAGTAGTGACTATACAGAGAGCCTTGAACGGGAAATATAGGATAGCTGTCTATGACAATAAAGGCGCAATGATCTTTTCCCCAACCCATTCCAAAGAACCTCTCTTAAAAATCCTCTATTCTGAGAATCACTACACTGCCTTTTTCACAGCCCAACAACTTTTTAATGGTCGAGAACGTCCACGCTTAGAATTTTGTTGCAAAAGATGTGGAGTTCTCAAAAGCAATAGCACCACGCATACCCGTTGCCGAATGGCTTGCTCATACTGCCAGAAAGTAGATAGGACGTGCTCAGTCATAGTCGTAGAACAAATTTCATGTCTAACCTGCAAGCGAACCTTCCCAAATTCCCAATGCTTTGAGAACCATCTAAGAAAAAACAAGTGTACTTCGCGCATTCATAAATGCATTTCCTGCTCGGAGGAGATGCGGAAAAATCTTTTGAAAACGCATGAATGCTTTACAAAAATATTGTGGCAAATGTCGAACGGATAGACCCCTTTCTCACAAATGTTCCTGGCTACCCGTCGAGGATGCAAAACGTATGCAATCCCTCACTAAAGCCGGCACCTTCCGCTTTCTCTGTTTTGATTTTGAGACAGACTGTGTTAGGCATAATGAGAATGGGGATATCATCTGGTTACCTAGGCATACTGTGAATCTAATTTCCTTTATTAAAGTTTGCAACCTATAGTGCGCCAAAGGACCTCCTTCCAACAAATATAGAAAGTAAGTGTAATGCCCCGCGCGACTATGTTTGTCCCCAATGCGGGCCGCTAGGCGTGCAAATTTGGGAACCCATCCCCGGAAAACACCCGGAAGAGCTTATTGAACGTTTCTGTCGTTTCCTCCTTTTTGATCACAAAAATGACCGTTATACCTGCATTGCGCAGAATGGCGGATCTTACGACACCCATTTTGTCCTCAAACATTGCATCAAACTAGGAATAATCCCCCCAAGTAATTTTTAATGGCCAGAAAATATTGAGCATGGACTTTGTGAGACCTAGAAAGCAGTTTATTAAGAATTTGAAGAAAGGCTCGTTAGGAAACGTCGAATGGACACCCGAGAATACCCCGACTAAGCAAGAGTCTCTGATTAATAGGATAAAGTTTTTGGATAGTCGAAATTTTGCTTCCATCCCCCTCAGCCAATATGCTGCTTGCTTTGACCTGCCCGAAAAGAAGGGTTTTTATCCATTATTCCTTACCGCAGCGCATAAAAAATCCAACGAATGGCCGGAGGCGAAATATTTTGGTGCCGACACGATGTCGGTGAAACAGGTTCAGGAACTGCGCTTGTTTTTAAATGCGAAAAAGGAAAATGGGATCCCTTTTTTCTGGGAGGACGAATTCAAGGAGTATTCGAAAAATGATAGCCTAGTATTGATGATGGGCATGATGAAGTATCGCAAATTTTTATCGAAAATGCAGGTTTTGATCCATTGCAAGAGGAGATTACCTTAGCATCTACCTGCCTTAAAACCTTTCGCTACAATTTCCACAATCCTGAATACCCTATTGCAGTAATCCCCGAATATGGACTCTCTCCACACTTTGTGTCGGCAATTAGCCAAAAATACCTGGCATGGGTGGAAAAACAGCAAAATATTCAGATCCAGAGGGCTACTTTTGGCGGGGGAGAAAACAGTGACAGTGAAATCGGGCCGTAAGTTTAAACTTGATGGGTATCGACAACTCGACGATGGCACGCGAATCGCCTACGAGGTCAATGGCTGTGTATTTCACGGATGTCCATGCATCACGGACCGCAGTTTGAAGTGTCCCATGTCTGGAAAAACAATGGAGGAGCTGTACGACTACACGGTGGCGCGGAAGGACGAGCTCGAGGACTCAGGCTTTGATGTCGTAATGGTGTGGGAATGCGAGATTAAGCAAATGTGTCGAGAAAACAAGGAGATGGCCGAATTTATCAAGAGGTATGATTTTGTTGGCAACTTGATACCGCGTAACGGTTTTCGAGGGGTCGAACTCAAACCTTTCACATGCGTGCACATTTAAAAGAAGGGGAATTTATCCACTACTACGATGCAGTTTCGCTTTACGCGGCGGTTGGAGCTTTCTGCCCGTTTCCGATCGGGGAACCGGAAGTCATCTTTCCACCGGATAACACGGTGATAATGGGTAAGCTAAGCTACAAGGGTATGTATTTTTGTACAGTTTTGCCACCACGTAATTTGAAAATTGCAATCTTGCCGATTAGCTACAAGCAGCAAATGATTTATACGCTTTGTCGAGCCTGTATGAAGGAGCGCTGCGAAAATGGGAAAAAATATCGGCTACAAAGTCTGCGCGCATACGGTAAATCAACGTAAAATCAGAGACATATGGACTTCGTTTGAGTTGGAACTAGCCCTCGAATACGGGTACGAGATTTTGGAGGTTTTCGAGGTTTGGCACTGGTCGAAATGGACAGACTCGGACCCGGATTGAAGGTAATTCCCGAAAATGGTCTCTTTTCAGGCTATATGCGTCTTTTTTGAAGCTAAAGTACGAAGCGAGCGGATGGCCGGACACATGTCAGACTCCCGCACAACGAGACCATTTCCTCACCGATTTCAAAGCCAACCATGGAATTGAACTGGATCCAGCTGCGCTTGATATGCCGAATAAGGGCAAACGTTTCCTCGCAAAGGCCTGCCTCGTCAATTTGGTAAGTCTCAATTTGCAAGAACAGACTAATCTTCCTTTTTAGTGGGGGCGTTGTGGACTGAAAGCCGATCGTTCCTCAGTTGCCTTTGCGAATACAGTGCAAGCAGTGGAACAAGTTTGGAATGATCCTACCCTCCAAATAACGTACGACAAGATTTTTGAAGCCGGCGACTCCCCTATTTGGCTATTCACCTATCGGAAGAAGCAGGATTGGATTCATTCTGCGCCATACGGTAAGTCAAAACGCACAAGAACTGAATAAAACTCTTTTAGGTAGTCTCCCTATTGCTTGCTTAACGACTTCCTATGGCAGGATCCGGTTAACCAAATGGCTGCTCGAGATTGGATACGATCGGGTTAGTGCAAATCACCAAGACGAACGAAACCAAATTTAGGTGTTGTATTCGGATAGCGACTCTTGCGTATGGATTGCTCGCGATGATGATCCCAAACACATGGAATTTCTGAGAAGGAATGCTGGCGAAAACCTGGGTCAACTGAAGAATGAGGTAGGCGATGGTTATAGAATTACAAATTTTGTGAGTGGGGGTAGCAAACAGTACTGCTTGCGGCTATCAAAATACGATTCCCAAGGCAAGATTATCGACACTTTTGAAACAGTAAAACTGCGCGGGATCACGCAAAATTCTAGCAATAAGGACATTGCGACCTTCCAGAATATGGAGAAACAAGTCGAGAATCTGCTTCGCGGCAACATTGAAGACCCCTTAATCTTTTCAGGCCCCCAAGTTAAGAAGCGTTTTGGTGAGGTGGGCACTTCAGTGCAAAATAAGAAATACGTTGCGCGACTAACAGGGGGACAAATCTTACCAGATGGTTCAGTACTGCCTTTCGGTTACCTTTACGACTGACTACTTTGGAGGTGGGGGGTTTGGGGGGTTTGGGGGGTTTGGGGGTGGGGGGTGGGGGGCTGGGGGAAGGGACGTGGGGCTCCCCCTCCGGAGGGTCCCCTCCCGTCAGGGCCTTCCTCCCGCCAGGGCCTTTCCTCCCGCCAGGGCCTTTCCTCCCGCTAGGGCCTTCCCTCCCGCTAGGGCCTTCCCGCTAGGGCCTTCCCGCCAGGGCCCTCCCCTCCCTCCGGGCGGCCGGGTTAAAAGCAATAGAAAACGGTAGTTTTTCAAATAATGGAGCCATTCAAGTTCAAACACCCGTGTTCAATTTTTACTTTTTGTCAGAGTCTAGGCGGTAAAACAACCTGGACTTTGAAATTGTTGCGAAATTACGAAAATTTGTTAGAAAATGCCAAAGATATTAGAAAAATTTTGTACTTTACGGGGTCGAATACTCAAAGCTTTCGTGAAAAGGTCCATGGGATAAAAGGTTTAGAAATTATTGAGGGTGCCCCGACCGAGGAGGTCGTGAAGGGTTTGAGAAATTGTATTTTAGTTATTGACGACCTCATGACTGAAATGAGTGAGGGGTTGATGGCTAGGCTCACCAGTAAAGTTACCCACCACCAAAACTGTACGCTAATCTTTTTGAGTCAAGACGCTTTTCGCAGTAGGCGAACTGCGCGGATAAATGCCAATTACATTGTTTTGCTGAGGTCAGTGTCTGACCAGCTGCAGGCCAGACAAATTGGTATGCAATGCTTCCCCACCCAATTTTCCTACTTTTGGGATAGTTACCGTTCAGCTACCGCGCACCCCTACGGTTATTTGGTCATTAATTGTCACGCGAGTTTGGAAAACTTGGACCACCGGCTGGTGACCAGCATTTTCCCAGAGGATATAAATCAAATTTTTTACTTGCCCCTTAGTTTCAATGAACTGTTCCCATTTTCTAAATCGCCTCTCCACTAGCAAGAACCCCCGCCTACTCTTGAAAAAGGCTAAAAACGTTGAAATTAAGGTTTTGGTTGAGCTGCTGGCTAATATCGTGCGGGGGACTATTCCTCTGTTCAAATACGAAGTCAAAAGGTTGCAACCCTACTTTGAAATTGTCAAAAATCTATCCAAAATAAGGCAGTTTGAGAAGGCCCGGGAAAGTCTGTCTAAAAATTTTGAGGCTATAAGGGCATTCCTGGTGCCGCTGGTTAGTTTTTGCAATGGCAAAGCCAACGTTTAAAAAGATGATGTTAGTCCCCTTGCAAGGGGATGGCTACATGGACACCCCGAGACAGCAAAATGTTGTAGAAGCCCAACAAACCGAGGCCAAAATGCGCGAGCTTTTGCACAGTAGTTTGCCCGATGACTTGAAAATGCGACTATACTCGGGTTTACTAAACACTCTGACTTCGCTAGTGGCCGAAATTCGCGACATGGATGCAGTGAAAGTAGCATTTAAAAAGGGGCCTTGCAAAAACCTTGAACAACCTACAAAGGGCGAGAAACCTTGCAAAAACCTTGAACAACCTACAAAGGGCGAGAAACCTTGCAAAAAACTCCCACTTGAACAACCTGTGTTTTCACCTATTAAAACCCGCGCGCGTAGACTTGCCGAAAAGAAGCAACATGGCAATGGCCGTTTCCGTGTCAAAATCTACAAGAACTAAACTGGATAGACTTTTTACGAACCTCCGTTCCCCTATAGCTTTCACTTCAAGGTCCAACCTTCTCAAGGCGGGGCGCGCAGCCGGTATCCCCAAAGCTAGCATAGACGCCTATCTACAGGGCAAAAGGTCCTACTTTTTGCATAGAAATTCTGCCCGCCGTTTTCCTCAGAAAAAGTTTGTTGGTAGCAGTTTCAATAGTCACCATTGTGCCGACTTGGGGGATTTTCAGAAGTTAAAAAAGTTCAATAGAGACTTTAGGTACCTGCTGGTTGTGGTGGATTTATTTTCGCGAATGACCTACGTTAAGCCCTTACTGACTAAGAAATGTGAAGAGGTAAAAGAGCGCTATAGTGAAATTTGTAAGGAGATTGGGAATCCCCCCTATTTTCTAACGACGGACCGGGGTAAGGAGTTTGTCGGCGCATCAATGAAGGCTTTTTGTAAGGACCGTGAAATTGTGCAAATTTTTACAAATGGACAATCCAAAAGTGCCCCTGCTGAGAGGAAAATTAGATCCATAAAAGAACGTCTGTATGCCTACTTTACCGAACGGGACACTTACAATTGGGTGGATGTGGTTGAATCTGTTGTTGCCGGTATTAATGCGACCCCAACTAGCGCGCTAAATGGTCTTCGCCCTGACGAGATTACAAAGGAAAACCGTTTTCCAATTGTCGTGGTGAAGCGTAAGCGAAAACCTGACCCAATGTTGAACGTTGGTGACTTTGTAGTTATCAAACTTCAGGATAAGGTTTTTCGTAAAAGCTACGAAGGGACCCATAAGGACGAGGTTTTTGTTGTTAAAACAATTAAATCGCACACCGGGTTCGGGGCACCAACCTACTACCTCCAGGATTTAAACGGTGAAGATATTGAGGGTGTATTTTATAAAGAGGAATTGGTAAAAATTAATCGTCCAACGTTGTTTGGGGTCACGGGAATTTTGAGGCGTAAGACTGTTCAGGGGGTTCGTTATGGGTTGGTTCAATATCGAGGCTATTCAAATGTTTTTAACAGGTGGGTACGACTAGCAGATATTGTCTCTGAAGATGGGAAGGGAAGTCTTGCGCCCCTTGAATAACGGGCATATAAAAGGGTTGGATATTTTGTTTTCCGGTAGACTAAGCATGAGTGACGATTTTTATGTGACTGTTGTTGGCCCTTCGGGTGAAAGGAGCCCTTTTTTGACTAACCATTTGGCAAAAGAATTGAACCTGCAGGAAGGCGGTGCGCAGCAAAGTCAATGGGCTTGTGCGCTGGTTGAAATGACGGGGATTGGTCCTGTTGACCAGGTACCCGAAAATCAACCCTTGAAAGTTTTTGATGGTCAAGGACAGGCAAGTAATTTTTACCTGCCTGCTGGAAACTATCTGAAACCAACGCGTCTGGCCAATGCACTCAATTCGATATTTGGTAAAACCAGGAAACGTAGGTCGACTCCCGATGATCTGCCTCCCAACTTTGACGCTTCGGGGGATAAGAAGGTCTTCACATCTCTACCTTTAGATGGTAGTGAAGTGCCTCACAATGAACCTGAAGAGAGTGAAGCCATAGCAGGAGAAAAGCCAGCAGGGGAAAAACCAGTTGACGAAAAGCTAGCAGTGGTTAAGCCAGTAGAGTTGGCAGAGGATACGCCAGCAGAGGATAGGCCAGCAGAGGGAAAGCCAGCAGAGGTCAAGCCAGTAGAGGAGAAGCCAGTAGCGGTCAATCCAGTAGAGGAGAAGCCAGTAGAGGAGAAGTCGGTAGAGGAGAAGCCGGTAGAGGAAGCAAAAACCCCAACTGTAGGAAGTCTTGTGGGCAGCCCGGTGACAGCAGAGGGCTCCCCCTTGGGCAGTCCGGTGACAGCAGAGGGCTCCCCGGTAGGCAGTCCGGCGACAGCAGAGGGCTTCCCAATGGGTAGTCCGGTGACAGCAGAGGGTTCCCCGGTGGGCATAGCAGCAGAAATCCCTGTGGAGTCTGGTGCAGGCGGAGACTCAAATTTTGATGCTTCAAATGAGGAGAAAACTTTTACCTCGTGGACACCAGCAGCGACTCCCGAAACTGTGGTTTTTCAGCCAGAGTTTAGGAAAGTGGCTCGACCTGATGTGCTCAGCGTCTATTTCACCGGGGATGACCAGGTAGAGACGTTGACCGAACCTTTGGTAGAAGAAATCCCGGTGGTTGCATTGCAGAATTTTAGCGATAGTTTTTCCTATGAGTTGAAAAATGCCGCTCATGAAAATCGTGGAGTTTGCTTCGAATATGACGAGAACAAAATGCGCTTTACGGTTAACATTGACCCCAGCCGGGTTTCCAAAATTATTTTGCCCTCTTTAATCTGGCGTATGCTAGGTTTCGAAAGTGATACCTTGAGCGGGTTTCAAACCGCAAAATATTTGCCCGATCTTAGCTTCAACACTAGAAACTTGCGCGTTTTTTGTAATTTGGTAGACCCTCATCTGGTAGGGGGTGAATTTTTGGAGCTCTTACGTAGTATCCCAAACGACACATTACCGGGAGATGTTTCCACAAAAACTTTTAACCCACCAGTGTACCATCGTGTGAAACAGGGTCGTTTCAATTCCATTAAACTGTATATAACCGACGACAACGGTCACGAGGTGTCCATGAATATCGGGAAATCAGTTGCACTTCTCCATTTCAAAAGACTATATTAAGCGTTGCAATATCCTTCATTTCACCCCAAGATGTCTCTTTCCAACTATCATCTCATTGACCCTAATGAAATTGTTTGGAACTTTAGCGAATCCAAGCAAAATGTAGCCATTAAGACGCAAAAGGGTGGAGGGGCTTTGACGCCTTTTCGCAATAGTAAATTTTTACTGCCTGTAAAACATAGTGTCCCCACCCCTGCTCCCACTAAATTACCTTTAGGACCTCCCATCGAAAATTTATTAAAGACAGGGAAGCCAGCGAGGGCTATAAAAAGAGGTAGAAAACGAACGGCAACCATTTTTACAATTATACCTCCTAAAAATGTCCGCAGTAAAGGCATTGGAAAGCAACCCTGAGCTTTCTTTTTCCAAAGAAATTGCCCTTTTTGACCCCATTCAACATGTAGTAGGCATCCAGTCTATGCGTTTTAGGAGTATTGCCCCAGAAAATAGTAGTCTAAATCAGACCGGTCCCTATACTTTCCGCATAATGAAAGAGCCGCATTTCATTAGTCTAGCGCGTTCCTATGTCACAATGACTTTGCGTTTAGTCGACGAAAAGGGGGATGGCTACCCACATTCAGACGTCGATGGTGACGGGAAAATAACTTTTAAGGAGCGGTGCGCACCTATACAGTTTGCGGCCCGTGCCTTCTGGAAACAAGCCACTGTTAGCATTGGCGGTACGCAAATTGAAAATTCTGGAGATTTGTATCCATATCGCGCCTTCATTAACGCGGAATTCATGACGGACAGGAACGTCAAGCAATTTAATTATGGTCACCCCCAACTCTACGATGCTGGCGATAACGGTGCCGAGCACAAGACCAACGATGGTTTTGAGAATATGAGTGTTCTTTTCATGAAGGGGAGGTCCGTGCAGGTGAACAGTCCCTTGGATTTGAACATTTGTAGCTCAAATAAGTTAATGTTGAACAACACCGATATCCAGATCACCCTGCACCGACAAAGCGATAAGTTCTTGATCCGCGGGTATGATTCCACGAAGGAAACATGGCGCTTGGTGATTGATGACATTCGACTTGTTGTGGCCGAATACCAACTGTATCCCTCGGCGGTTGCCGCCATTGAACGACAATTGAGTAGTGGAAAAAAAGGCTAGCTATCCTATGCGTAGTTATCAGACTAAAAGTTTTTACATGCCCGAAGGTGTATTGAAGCTTCCTGAGATGCAACTCTTTAACTCCAACCAGATCCCTCGGCGTATTTTTGTGGGACTCGTAAAGAACGAGGGGTTTGTAGGTTCGTACAAGACCGATCCATGGCGTTTCCATCATAACCATATCAAAAACCTGAGTATTCGTTTTGCTGGGCAGGCTGTACCACATAAGCCGTGGAATTTGGTTTGGGATAAGGGTGGCTTGGGTTGTACTGAGGCCTATACGCAAATGCTGGAAGGTTGCGGTATGACCGGCAGTAATCTAACAAATGGTATTGGACATACAATGTTTTCAGACTCTCGTTGCGTCCAGGTATTCGAACTTCTTCCGGATGCTGATGGCGGTGTTGACAGCTTCGACATGGCCGTTGCAGGGCAATGCACTTTGGACCTCGAGTTGAGCCAGCCGGTGCCCAAAGGTGGACTGATGGTTGTCGTACACGCCGAGCTAATGGATAAATTGACGCTGGACCACGCCCGTCAAGCCCAAACGCTTACACTATAACATGAACAACTTTGAAATCGACGCAATTCTGATGATGGACCCCTTGACGCGCCTATTCTACCAAGGTACATACGCTGCAGACACACTACCTACACGCCCTTCGAAGACGGCCTTTTGCGTCAACACCGACAAGATATCCCAACCCGGAAAGCATTGGGTTGCCTTCTTCACCCAAGGGGATACTGTATTCTATTTCGACCCGCTTGGAGACGAGCCGCGAGGGGAAATTAAAAAATGGTTGACTGACCATTTTAAAACTGTCATCTCAAGCCGAAAGCAGTGCCAGGCCTTCCGAACGAGGACTTGTGGCGCTTTCTGTATCATTTTCCTGTCAAAAATGTGTGCTGGAATGCCTTTCTATGATGTATTGAAATTTGTTCATCACATCGATGATTTGTTTGTTATTTTCTTTATGAAATCCCGTTTTAACTGTTCTCTGCCTCTGGCCTATGCCGGGGAGGATCTATATAAGGAGGAGTAGTTCAACGATTCGGTCTCATTCTTTTACGATGAGTTCTGCACAGCGTCCCAGTTTTCGTTGTTTCCAATGCGACAAGCTATTTTCTACCAACTCCAATCTTGTACGTCATATTAAGCGGAATAGCCACCGTTCCTTCAGTGAACAGTCGACCATCGACGAAACTAGCGACCACCGGGTCAAGCCATCGAAAGACGGCGTAGATGATGCAAGTGGAGCCAAGAAAATCCTCGAAATATCTTTTTATTACGATGCAACTAGCAACAGCGTTAAATCTCATCTGAAGCAGTGCAATTCTTGACCGAATCCTTGAACATACCCTTCGTTGTATTTTTTTTGAGATTATATGCGAATATGCGAATAAATATTTTAAATTAAACCTGTGTATCGCACCACACTGAGTATGCATTTGGAGACGGACAAGTTTTGGGTTTTTGGTTCGTACAAAATAAAAACTTGAGGGGTGCGAAAAGAAAACTTGTATAATATAGTAGTTATGGCGACCAAATTCCTTCACAATTACCACTATCCGTTCCTGTGCTGCTTCTTTAAACTGCTTTTCTGAAACATTTTCTTGTTCGGTACTTAATAGCGTTTTTTGGATTGTATCCACTAGATACACCAAAATACTTTCCAAGCTAAATATAATATTTGCCGACGAATTGCCGATCTTTCTCGAAAAAAATATATAAGAACGGTAAATTCCGAGCCCTCAAAAATCAGAAAATACGGGTACTGCAACTTCGGGGTGTTAATTTGCCTTAAGTAGAGGAATCAGGGCAGTATGAAAATTTAATCGAGTTTGATATGGTGGCTATCTTTATTTAAGTGGTGGTTTCATATAAATGGAGCCACGAACCGCACAAAGAAGTAATTAGCCATACTATTACAGCCTTGTCTGAGTGTTATTTTGAAACATCATTATTTTGCCTAGTTTTGGCGCTTCGACCATATCCGTTAAATCTAAAAACCGTACTACTAAATCGATTGAATTAACAATAACTTCAATACAGGTACCAAAAAACATATTTATCAAAATTAAAAAAAACTTGTTTCAGTTTTGCCTCCTCCCACGAGTGCGAATCGACGTGTAAAGGGCTGAAAAAGAGCGTCCACCCGAATCGTTGTTCACATCTGCCGGATTGGGGATCGTGCAATCATATGCGATATCAGTGGTTCTACGACAGTCGTCAAGGTAGATTTCACCTTCAAACATTTTGCAAAAAATATGTTTTTTGGATATATGTTGTAAGCTTAAATCTCCGAATGCAGTAGGCTCCGGGTTATGCTTGCTTGGACAGAATTTCGATATTTTAGCGATTTTATCGGGATTTTTGCAATACCATTCGATAGCGAAATATACTAATAATTTTTGTCTTAGCTCAAAATATATATCTATTGTAATATAAACAAAATTTGAGAACACAAAAATCACTTTTCGAACAGGTGGAGGCCAGCTAGTTTTCGATATTTTGAAGACGCCGTTCAATAGAGCATCAAAAACTATCCTACGAATTTTAATTTAATCTCAAAACAGCGTAATATAAAATAGTTATAGCAAATAGACGCTGTTTCCCCCAATTTGTTTGTCCGTCAAAAGAAGCAATACCAGCATTCAAATATTACAAAAAAATGCCAGAAAAAGCGGTTGGCTTTATAGATATTTTTAGTAATTATTTGACTTTTCCGGAGATTGTGGTTAGAAAAACATGTTTTGAAAAGTTGCCTGTCTGGAAAATAGTATAGGCTGCGGTTTCATGGTAAACGTAATTTACTGCAATTGCCCACATATCAATTCACGTCCCTATGCGGCCAAATAAAATTTTCATAAAGCAGAGTGGTTTAAAGAAAAAAAAATATAGTTAGTAAAATATGTTTTACGAATTTATGGTACACGGGTGAAATTTAAACCTGTAGTATAACATCCGCCCATCTCAAAAAAAATCTTCAAATCTTTTCTTTCTGACGCCTTTAAAATGCCCTTTAAGGCACCTGCGCCCAGTTTCTGTACGGTGGCTGCGGCGGGAACACCAACCGTTTCGAGACGTTCGAGGAATGCCAAAAGGAGTGCGAGCCCAGCGGCTTTGGTGCGTTTTTATCGACTGAATCAACACGCCGCATTGCCCTTGCGAAAATCAAAGTGTCAGGATTTTTGGTTCAAACATACTTTTTTACAAGATGTCTTAAATTTTGTTTTTGTCGATTTATTGCCATATGGCAAATATTCCGAAATCAGTATCGAAAAGTTACCCTAAAAGTTTTTACAGATTTTTATGTTCGCATACCATCGCTACAAAAATCATGTTAATTTTAAAGTAAAATGTCGAAAAATGTGATTTTTGCCTATAAATTCTCATTTTTGCTTTGAGCCCTACCACTTCAGGTTTCAGAATAAAAAAAATTTTCAAATTCTTATTTGAGATTGCCAAGAATTTTCGTTTGAGTTCTTTCCTCGGTCAAATATTACCTTTCAAAATATACCGAAGGTGGCCTTTGCATCAAACATTTTTCTCAAAAACTTTCGTACTTTTTTATAATAACTTTTTAACTTACAGCGACATGTCAGATACGTTAACTTTTTATAGTTGTTTGCTGTATTTTTGGGTTGAGATTATATTGGACAACAGGAAAATTCATCTAACGATTCCAGTTAAAACGTTTTTCTTAACAAGTATTTTTCAGACCCATGCATGGAAGGATTAGATCGTGGAAAATGGTGTGAGACCATGTCAAATCGATACTACTATAATCGGCAATTAAAGGTAAGCTTTTGAATACGTAATAAATACATAAAAACACGAAAAATGACTAGTGAAAGTGCTGTTTTACCGAAATTTGAACAAATTATATTAATGAGCCAACTACGCAATTTTCCAAGGTTCTGATATGAAAAATCTTTTTTTACAAAATATTTGGAGCCACTACTCTTTTTTATTCCACACACCAGCGCCCAAAACCCGCTTCGCGGGCCTTGGGCGCTGGAATGCGGCCTTTTGCATAAGAAATTTCCTCCGACCACACCCGCGTGTGCAACTTTCAAGAATGAGGAAATTTGTATTTTTTGGAATTATGCAAAGTAGCCCTCCCTGGCGTCGGACACACACACACACACACACACAGAGATACCCGCCAAAATTATATAAGGTAGGATTATTTCGCACAAGTCGCGTTCGATAAATTAAAAAATCTCCCGTGGTTAGAGATACCGCTAAAGGAGTTAGCGAGTCAAAATTCGCGCGTTCAGGTTCGAATCTACTGCTCAAAAACTAGAGCGTCACTACCAAAAGCACCAACAAATTGATTTCTTTGCGAACAACCGAAACTATGCAATTTTTTGAATCGGAAAGTGCGTTACGTACCTCACTAAAAGCTAATAACAACGAAAAATATTAAGCTTCCCCTATAATTTGCAAAACATATTATTTTGAAAAAGGGTTGACCAAAAAAGAGGAGTCAGGCAGCTAATTTGCAGCTATCTTTCTTTCGCTACTAATGAGTGCGACCGACATAATCATATCGCCATTTTATTGGAACATTTTCGTTGAAAAAAACGTTAAATTTGCAGGAATGCAAGGGTTTTCACTACAGCGGTTGCGGCAAGTCGAATAACAATTTCCACACGCTCGAAGAGTGCGAGGCCAGGTAAGTAACAAAATCGTAATTTTTTTCAAACCTATAATTAAAATTTCAAAAAACCGTTTGTATTGATTCTAAAATGACCTAAATTCAAAATATCATTTTGTATTTAAAGTTATTCGAAACACGGATCCGCAACAAAATCTTGCAAAAATCGTATCTCGCTTCAATTAGATACAAGGCGTTTTTAACAAAGGATTTTAATTGCGATTTTAGCCACACCGTCAAAGTGAAATGTATGTTGAAACATATTCATTATTTGTTTTTTAACATTGCATCAATTTTTGTAAGCCTCAGGATTCTCAACAATTATACATGTAAAAATCAGGGCTGATCTTTAAAGTTTCCTGGGAAAAACTGTAACTAAGAACCGGCCCTATCAAAATACCAAAACTGGTATCTGAGAACATTTACGGTTATTTAAATAGTAGCCTTTTCTTATTTAAATTCTAAATCACTCTTGAATTTAAATGAAGCCCGACTAAAATAAGTTTTAAGCTATTTAACCATCGCTTACGATTCATAGGAAATGGGCCGGCTCGTAAAAAATATGTGTTTCGTATAGTGTAGCTGCCGATTTTATTAAAAATTTAGTTAATGGAGATGCGGTTACTGCGATTGCTAGCGAATTGTAAAAAGTAAACTAGCGTTATAAATTCAACTTCTAAATTTTAGATGCGTCCGCCGTGGCAAGCCGAGGAAAGGAAAAGCGATTACCGGAGATAACAGGCTACAAGATGACCCGAATTCCGAAATGCGCCAAATTACGGGCCCGGCAATGAGTGTGGACATCGATCACTCAGACAATACGCTCAAAATGAACCTGACGTTCGGTGGGTTGGGCTAAAAACAGCCTTTTTCTATTTCAATGATTAATAAATTAATTACTTAATTTTTGAATGTTTGTTAATTTAAATTAATTGAAAACAAAAATTAATATAATTCATAACCTCGACATAACCTCGACAAATGATAACCCCCAGTTTTTCCACGAATCGCGGAAAAATTTGCATGCGAGGTGTCTGCGCCTCTCAATAGGGTGTGCTCTCTAACCGGAAATGCATGCTAAATTCTTCCACGATTCATGGAAGAACGGCGCTGCTGAAAGAGCCCCTTTAAATTTTTGTAGTATATGCAAAAAATATTTTTTTGCGTCATGTTTCATTTAACGTACTGCTAGCCTCGACGGCTGTTAACCTAATTTGATCGCGTCAAACTACTCTAAATTAATTAAAAATAGACATATAAAATGAACATAATTAGAAATTGTATAATTTCCAAAATTTGGACGCGTTTTGCATCAATTTTCTACATTTTCATTAAACTCGATAATTTGCCTAATTTTTGTAATTTTTTGAGCTTTTTACGTCTCAAAAACTGGGTAAAAGCTATGAAATGTATTATATTTCATTATAGGGCCTCACGAGTTATTTCGGAAACATTGATTTGCACCGCTACATGCCCCCGCTAACAGTCCAGTACCCAAATTGCTATGTATAATAAATTGAATAAGATAAAACGCTAGTTCTTCGGCCTATTTTGCGTCTTTTCAACCGCAATTATTTTTATGTTCCGCGATAATTTGTGGACTCAAATGTAAAATAGTTTTATCAAATAGACCAAGACGAACATTTTGGTATACTTTACAGCTCTCTGGCTCATAGGGGAGCCGAGATAAAAATGAAACCCGGGCCGCCACTAGCTATCCAAGTTCTAAAAAAATGATGTTCCATAGAAATAATTTGCCGGATCGGGAAATAACTCCACATTGTAGTCCTCTTCGCATCCTCGAATTAGTAATATTTTTAATAAAAATTTTTTATGGTTTGGCATACCTAGGTGGTGCACCCCGAACGACGCGTCCGCCAAAAACCACCGCCGTCACCACCGTCAAGCCGGCTGCCAAGAAGTCGGCAACCAAGAAGCCGGATAAATGTAAGTAATTAAAGTAATTCAAAATTAATGTTTGACAATAGCAATTCCAAGTGAAAAATTATGTTTCATGAAAGTTCGATGAGATATAATAGTGATTTTAACGCTTCTCGTCATTGCCGCTTCCAAAAATAATGCGAATGGCAACTCGTAAAAAAGCCCGAGTTTGATGGCATTGTATCTCGAATTATTCGAGCCAAAACTTATGAGATAGCAACCAAGACCGGGGAAACATGCTTCTTGTAGAAAATAAGTTTTTCATAAAATTGCCTAAAAAATCGAATTGACTTTTTGCTCAATCCTGATGGTAAACTCTCCTTTGATTTTTAAGTAAACAAAGTTAAACTTAAAGACAATAGAAACCAAGAATAAACAAAATTGCATAGAAATTTGGTAAAAAGTACAATAAAACATCCGAATTATAGACGGGCACCGTAAGCCAACGGAAAAGACACCAATGGTGCGCCACGAGGTGTTGAATGGAGTGAATCGAACGTATCTGAAGACGGAAAGCGAATGGCACCACTATGAAGCTTGTCTAGGGTATCGGTACGTTTTATACCTTTTTTATATTTAAGCTTCAAAAAAAAACCTGTAAGTAATCTTAGCAGCCAACCTAACAATTCACCGAATCGTGAAACATGTTTTCTTAAGATACAACGTCTCGGGCCCACAAACAATCCTGAAAACGCATCTCTGTGATTTGGATGGGAATCGTCATTGCTGGAGTGAGGTGAGATATGGAATTTCTGGAAATTAAATAGGGTTTTTTTAAGTATCGGGGGCAGGGGCCAAGGCGTTTTAGTGGCGTTTTTAGTATGATTGCGGAAAAACATCTAAAAAAATTTAGTAAAACGAAATCGAAAACTGAAAAAGCAGAACGAAACTCTTGTTAACCCCTCCCCCGTTAATGCAAAGCACCTAAATTAAACCTGAGTTAATTTTAAACCTAATAATTTGATATCTAGGCCGAACAAATGTCATACCGTACTAACACTTTTTAACCTTTCTCCTTGAAACGCATTTTTTTGGCTAAACGCAAAATAAAATTTTTTGGGCGTGTCAACCAAGTATTTGAAAAGTGACAGTTTTGATTTAATTTGCATATCATAGAGTGTTAATGCGCACGATTTTGCACTGAATCGCGAAATCCAAAATCAAAAAGTTTTTTTTTGGGCGTAAAGATGTTTCTTAAAAATAACGAGTAATGCTGTAAATGTCGTGGTTTAATCACTTTTTCTTCCATAAACGATCTGCTTTAACGTATTTTAATGCTTTACTGTAATTAATTACTGACCTAATTGCATTATTTTTTTCAGATTCACGAATCCACAGAAGGGGAAGAGCGCTGCGCCGTCGTGCGGCCATTCCTGCGCGGCACCCATTTGTACTCCTGGTTTTTTGGTGAGTCGTTGATTGATTTTTTCATTTTTTAAAAAATGTTTCAAAACAATGCCAATTCCGGTGGAATCCGCGTTTCCGAATTCTTTGAGATTTGGCATTCACTTCAAAAAAAGGCATTCCGAATTTTGAATAGGTCTTCTTTTAAATTAAACTTTACAAACTCTCAAAATATATAAAAAATTATCATGATTACCATGTTGTTGGTGCTAGCAAAACAAAAAACATAGTATTGGATTTTATGTAAATTTAGCAATTTTGAAACGGCGCAAAAGATCTCATTGCCGTAAACAATGTTTCAAAAAAATTCCAATTTTTGCGGGGAAAGAGATGGGCAATTGAAGAGTTCGCACGTGCTGATTTTTGCCATGAATTTAAATTACTTTAGAGCATAATTAAATCACAATTCCCAGAACTTGCCACCCTCCCGCACAGCTACGCCCCGGATGCGAAAATTAGGAAGGAGCAAACGAAAGAGGAGACCTGGGCATCAGTATTACTTCTCAAAGCGAATCGATGTTTCGATGTCTGCTAGAAAGCAGTATTTTTTTATTTACATAATCAATTATGCCTTTGAGACAGACTATAGTTTAGTAATAAAAATTTGCTTATTGAAAAATAATTAAATAATAAAGATAATTGAAAATTTGATTTAATTGACAGTCCATATTTTTTCAGGAATTAGCAATTCTCGAATTCATTTTTCCACAAAGCATTTTTTGCGGTCTTATTAGGAAACAAACTTTTTTTTGTACACACACAGCTCCAAAATATTTGCATGAGATTTGGCTTCGTATCGTTATTCTGAAAATAGTTTTCATCAGGTTTTTCGGAAAAGTACTTTTTGGAACTCACTTTTCCAGAAAGTCTGTTTTGATTTTCGATTGATTTGCGAAAATCACTTTCGAAAAAGTTGCATGCTCTGCATTTGCAATGCTTTTTCCTAACAAGGTGCAATTTTTTTAACTGTGTGTTTCGAAAAAGGCCTCCCCCAAACTGCTTTTCCAATGAGGATTATGCGACAGCCCTATGTTCGAAAAACTACTAACAAGGAGACGTTTTTAGGTGGGGACCAGGGTTGGTCACGAAAAGAGCGGGAGCTGGGAGCGGGAGCTGATTTGCGAGCTCCGCTCAAGAGCGGGAGCGGGAGCTGAATATCCTCAGCTCCCGCTCAGCTCCGGCTCTTGAGCCGGCTCTTTTGAAAAAAAGAGCGAGAGCCGAACTCCGCTCAACTCAAACCGGATTCTGCAAATCAGATACCTATGCAAATATGGCAATGCAAGGCCAAACATATTCAGTTTTATTGGAATTTTGGGAGATTTGCATAAATAACTAATTTGCAGCATCCGGTGGAGTAGAGCAGGTTCCGGCTCCCGCTCTTTTCCAAAAGAGCCGGCTCAAGAGCTGGAGCTGAGCGGGAGCTGAAAATTTTCAGCTCCCGCTCGGCTCCTGCTCCCGCTCAGCTCCGGCTCAGAGCGGGCTCTCAGAATGACCAACCCTGGTGGGGACGGAGTTTTGTAACGAGACCAAGCTGATTAGAAGGAGCTTGAAAAACTGAGCAAGATCCCGTTTTCCATTTCTGCGAAACGATAGCGATTGATTTTTAATAATTAAATTAAAGAATTAGCAGAAATTGGCATGATTCTCCTCGCGTGGAGCGATTTCCTTCCAAATATCCCCTCTGTCGGAAAGCCAGGCCCCGTCTTCCCTTCCCCATAGCGATTTGGCGCAGCCGGTACGGCGTTTGCCTCTCACGAAATTTTTTTGGACTTTTTGTCAGTTCGACCCCTAAACTTAAAACTTAAATGCGATTTGACTTTTCCAATTAGCAGCCAAGCTAAAATTATGTCGTTGTTTTCCAAAAAAAAATTATTTCGAAAATGCAGTATTTCGAAGATTTCGCAAGTGTGTTATTCGAAGATCGGGCAAGGCATTTTCATAAAAAAACAATAAAGGTTAAACATTTATCCAAATACAATGAAACCAGGGTTGAAAAGCCGCTTCGCGACTTTTCAACCCTGTCCCCGTCTGATCCGATGATATTCTTCACTTTGCATAATTTTCACGATTTTCGATGACAAAAAATGAGAAACGCTACCTCTCTTGCCTAATATAGGCTACCGCAACTTCCGGCGTATGCTAATTGTTTCCTAACAAAGAGGGTGGCCCATTTTTCAACAAAAACCTGAATTTTAACGTCGAAAACAGCTCATTTTTTGAAAATTTTATTGGTGTGCAGTCATCCCCAGGCCATTACACACCTAATGACGTATCAAATATGCCCTTAACTACTCCCCTTATTGAGATACTACTGGAACAACCTGACGGAAGTTGCATGCAAATGCACACAGACACACACACAGACACTATTTTTTTATATATAGTAGGATAAAGAAAATTAACGAGGGGCTATGGCTTGTTAAGTGACGTCAATAGGTGGCGGACGATCGACCATGTCAACTCCGCGGGCCTGCGAGAAGAACAGGGTGAGTTTGCTCTGAAAAATAGTATGATTCATCTAGAGCATTTAAAAATGGATCCGGTCGCGTGACTTTTCGGATTAGATGTGGTGGTAAAAACACGAAAGAAAGAAAGGATTTTTGAAACAATGTATTTACAAAAACACGTTTCACCCTCAAAACATACAAAGAATATTCATTTCAGAAATGATATAAAAATTCGGCTTAAGCGACCCCCCTCCCCCGATAATGCGAAAGACCACGGTTGGCTCCGGCGTAAAGAAAAAGTGTTCTAGCCCCAACCCATAAAAAAATTTCGGTTTTGGCGGTAGTCGGACGCCCTTGAACAGCAATTTTTGATCAAATTTTTATTTTAAGCGACATTAGCCTCTTTATTACATAGGTAAAAACTCTAATAATACACATTGTAGCAGCTATCCATCTTTATTAATTTTTGCGAATATTTTAAATTAAAGGAACCCAGAATCTAGACCCACATGCGGTGTCTGCCCAAACAACGGTAGCCCGCCGCCATTCTGGTGCAGTTCGGCGAGCAGCGCCGCGTCCGCGCCGCGCGGGCCCTTAATTTTAATCGTTAATAGTTTTTATTTTGCTTAGGTTTTAAAAGCAAAAATCTACAAACTAGTAAAAAAATACAAAATAATTCTTTTGAAACAGCATGTTTCAACAATTTTTTGATAGGCATGCGTTTTTGTAGGCAAGATAATTTATATTTGAGGTAGATGCATCAAAACTGATAGGACATGTGATCTTTCAAAGACGCTCAGCTCCAATTTAAATATTTTTATTAAAGAGAAGGTGAAAAATAGATGAAAAACTCGTCAAGCGATTATGTCGTCCGGGCTCAGTCACGCTATTCAAACTCTTATTGAATGTCTACAGCTTTTTATTTTACTTTTAACGAGCCAGATTCAGAAAGATATTCACAAAAACGCGACGTTTTCGTTTTCAAAATCATTGTTTCATCAATTTCCTAATATAAATCGGTGATTTCGCTTGCAATTTGTTCCTTTGACCGAGTGAAAAATATTTAATCTTTTAGATGGATTTGCAGTGATTTAAAGCCAAGAAAAATAGATTTCTTGTGACCAGAAAAATTTAACAATATTCTATGTGGAAATACAGAAAATTGAAAATCGTGTACCTGAGCCGCGCCATAATTGGTGAGGTATTCGTTGAGGTTGGCGGCGAGAAGCTGGGTGGCACAAGCCTGAAAAATCGCGTTAAACCGGGGCAAAATTAAATTTTTTTTGAAATGATTTTGTTTAGAAGCTTTTTAATTCAATTTTAAACATTTTTTAAACCTTGAAAAAGTTACCGTGAGCAACGCTTCCAAATTATTCCGCTCGGCCACCAGGAAGAACTCGAGCAGATAGTTTAGCCGGTCGCGATGCTGAAAACGTGTTTCATACAAAAACATTTTTTTGGTCGCGAAAAATCGGTGATAGTTTATTTTGCCGTGGAACTACCGTAAACTTTACTACAGAATTTCACCTGAAAAATCTGCGGGAAAACGTGGTGCTGGACGGCGGCGCGGAGGCGCTCCAGGCTTTTCGGGCGGTACCTGAGAAATTTAAGGAGGCGTGGTATTTTGTAAAAGCATGTTTCTGAATATTTATGGCGGAATTGGCGACAGCGCATCGTACTCCGGTGCCAATCCTACTATACATAAAAAAATAGTGTCTGTGTGTGTGTGTGTGTGTGTGTATATTTGCATGCACTTCTGTTTGGATGTTCCGCACCTACAGCCTCAGGGAAGCATTTTTTCGGTAGGGAAGAAACGACATAGGGTAAAGAAGGGGCAGGAATCGACTGCCCACACATAAAAGTTTTGAAAAATTGCTATTTTCGATATTAAAATTAGGTTTTTGTAAAGTTTTCGGCTAACCTCTTTGTTAGGAAGCAATTAGCATACGCCGGAAGTGGAAATGGTTTATAAAAAGGAAGGGAGGGCGCGCTTTTCATTTTTGGTGAGCGGTTTTCGGCCAGAATTATGCAAAGTCAGGCTAAACGCAGATAACCCCCCCCCCCAGCCAACCCCCACCTACCGTATCTCGGCTCCCTGTTCATCTACAGGTGTGTAAAGTATACCAAAATACTCGCCACAGCAAGACGAACATTTTGGTATACTTTACACGCATGTAGATGAACAGGGGCCGAGATAACAAAAGTTGGGTGCCGGCTGGGGGTTATCTGGAGTCTTACCCAAAGTCAATAACTCCATCGATCCTAGACGGGGCCAGGGTTGAAAAGCCGCGAAGCGGTTTTTCAACCCTGGTATATTGTTCAAAAGTTCAAAAATCAATCAGATCAAGGAAATGCTTCGCACTTTTGCGGATTTAAATTAATTCTATTACGTTACAACTAAATTAAAAATTAAAATCTAACCGTAATTAAATTCAAAATAAACTTAAATTGAAATGCAAATTTGTAGAAATTAAAAAAAAATACAATTTTTAGCGTCTATTTTGAAACGCGAGCGGGGCAGCGTCTCATTTTTGGTCTAGTCTCTCTACGTATTTACATCTCCCGGTGTTTACGTTATCATCTTAAAAATTATGCCAGGATTGGTTCGTAAAGGCGTCCTTAAAACCCTTAATTACTTTCTGGAGACGTCAAAGAGCTGACGGGCGTGGGCGGGCGTCATCTCGCCGTCGTGCTCGAATGTGCCGGTGAGGAGGAATTGAAGGGACTGAATAAACCCGCAGAAATAAATTGTTAGCTCTGAATAAAAGATAAAAATAAAGGGTACTGACCGTTGGAAAAGAGAACTCCTTTTTTCATGACGGCACGTTGCCAAAATATAAGCCTGTTTTATGGCATTTGCATTTAGGACGATTGCTTATCAGACGATGAGAAAAAAATTATAAATTTTTAGTTGGCTTTTTGGTCATGAATGTATGAAACATGGTCATAGAACCAAAAAAGATTTCTAATTTTTTCTTTAGCTTCCTAGAACGGAAGACTACTAACACCCTTTCTAAAGCATTCTTGTTTTTGGGCTAGACGCCAGTATAGTACCTGCTTGACGGGCAAACAGTTCGCATTTTCGGCCGTTACCACCACGTCGCGTTGCGTCTCGAAGAACTGGAAAGAATTGTATTCTAACGAGAGAGTACCTCGGAGCATTTTAAAAATTTTTTTGAAATATTTTTTAAAGGATCGTTTTGCAAAATCTGTCAGTCTTAAGGTATCCGATTTTCCAGTCTTCTTGCCTTAACTACAATTTTTAAGATTTCAAGCCAGCTTCTCTAAATAAATTATTATCGTCGGTCAAAAATTTTGTTATCTAGAATCTAAAACATTTATTTTTTCACGACCAGAAGAAACCAAACGTTACATCTCGAAAATGAATCGACGCCTGGTAGAGCGATTCGCGCGTCGCCGTCACCACCCCGCCCAGGCAGCGGATCGTGAAGTCGTGCAGGGATCTGCAAAACCGTTACAATCCATTGTATAAGTTTTCCACAGGCCTTGAACATTTTTGAAACCCCGAGTTTTTCGTGTCCAGGAGCGAGTACGGTTGCGTTATTCGGAGCACAGGGCTGTCAGGTTATTTTGATTTTGAAACATCGACATTTTGCTACTTGTCTTTTGCCAGCTTTAATTGTCATTTTCAAGCAGTTAGTGGCTTTTTTTACATTTTAAATTCGATCATTTAATCTCCACCAATATAGCATTTTCTAATTGTTTAGAAATCATCTAATTAATTTTCTAGCGGATGTCAAGTAATTCTATTTGGCACATTACTTTTTTCTGAAAATTGTTGTGAAACATCTTTAATTTTAGATTCTAAATTTTAATGTCGATGTAGTTTAATTTTCATTTTTGTCAAGCACTGCCCCCACGTGTCGAGCAGGGAGCGGAAGCGGAAGTCGCCGTTCGCGGGCGGACGGATGGATCTCGGCTCGGGAGGGGCCGCGAAGTCCGAAGCCGGCAACGTCACCAACAGGGTCAGCTCGATGGAGAACGGGGTGCGGCCTGGAAAACGTAAATTTCCTTAAATTTTGCAAATTCCGCCATGATTCACCACTAGTCTGCTGGGAATCGGCGTAATTTTCCAAGTTGCTTTTATAAAAAGCAAAATCCACGTACTAGGTATCAGCTCACGAAGCTTCTGCAGCCTCTTGGGCACGCGCGACGTTTCCTCGTCGAGACTGGAATTTTTTCGTATAATTATCGGGGGGACTTATTTTCATCCTGTTTTTAATCAAATTCTATTATATTTCAAGTGGAGCTATTAACTAAAAATTTAGAAATGTTTTTTTTTGTAATTATTGAATTTAGACAATTTAGACCTTTTTGTCGAAAATCGATATTCTTGCAATTTTTTATAAAATTTGTAAATTTATGCGCTTGGGAATAGTAGAAACTATTTAGAAAACCTTCACTATTTGCATTAGAAACTTTCGATCTTAGGTCAAGAAAAAGTTGTTTCACGTTCCTTGTCAAGTAACTAGAATTTTTATCAGCGCAATTTCGCGTTTGCGACCGGAAGTTTTTGCAGTGTATAGTAAACCAGCATCTAAACCCCGCTTCGAGGGCCTAGTTTATAGTAAATATCGTAGTTTCTGGTCTATCTTAGTCTCGCCAAGTAGATGAACCTCAATATCAGATCGTCCATGGTGTTGCTGGGACCGATCCGCGCGCTTGACCGGGCCGGGGCCATCAGTTCTGCAAAAAAAGACGTTTAAAGAATATACAAATACAAAAATTTATCGAACCCGAGCAATAGGATGTTTGTTTTTCTTTATAAAAACTGACCGTCCCCGTGAGCATCCACGGCCCTTAAGATGTAGATGATCTGCCGGGGGCGGGGCAGCCGACGGGACCAAGAACGACGGCAGCGCAGGTCCTGAAAATTGTTGTTTTTATTTTATACGATCCTAAAAAAATGCAGTGCGAAAATAGCTATGCCAAAAACCTTGTGTCTCAGAAAAGTGTTTCAAAAACTATCCGAAATTTTCGAAATCTTGAAACGCCAATGGGTCTGCCTCTGCGACTGAGAATTTTGCATTAAGTGCATAAATCGTTCCTTCGCATTATTGGGGAACAACCTTAATTCTAAAAGCCCCATTATTCCCCTTCCTTAAGGGAATAAATTACAAAACTAGCGGGGGGTCAGCGCTGGTTTAGGAATAAATTTCCGAAGTTCGATTATCAGGACTTTCGGCTCAGCGTAATACATAGATGAATCCATTTTTCACGAGTCCATTCCAAAGTGTTTTATAAAAAGCTGGTAAATCAGCAAACTCTTCTGGGGCTAATAAAAGACAATCGGTTGCCAAAACGAAAGCTTCCGCAAAAATTATAACGCACCAACAACCACCGGCGGTTGTGGCGTGGCGGGAAGGCGAAACGATCACGGCCCCAGGTGAGGTGCCTGCAAAAGGGTTACGGTATTTTTAGAGTCGTTCAGAATGCGGACCATCGTACAGTGATTACCACTAGTACAAAAAAGCGAATATCGGCGATATTGTTCTCTTGGACAAGGGAGTATGGTGTATTTTCTAGCGTCTTCGAGTTGCTCATTTTTAATTTTGTAAACTCGCAATTATTGTTCTTTTCGGGCCATTTTTATTAAAAAGTCACCAGGGTTGAAAAGCCGCTTCGCGACTTTTCAACCCTGGCCCTGTCCACCCCGTAATATTCTTCACTCTGCATACGTTTCTCGAATTCCCTGCATTGAAAAAATGAAAAAGGCCCCTCTCTCGCATTATATATAGGCTACCGTCACTTCCGGAGTATGCTAATTTTTCCTAACAAAGAGATCGGCCGATTGTTCAACAAAAACTTAATTTTAATGTCGAAAATAGCAGAATTTGCAACATTTGATATGCGTGCAGTCATCCCAGAACCATTACGCGCCTAACGACGTATCATACGTCGCTTAATACCCTTCCCTTCTTGAGATATCTTCCGGACACCCTGACGGAAGTTGGATGCAAAGTGGCACACACACACACACAAACACACAGACACTATTTTTTTATATATAGTAGGATTATTTCACAAAAAGCTTGACTTATTATGAACTTTTTTTTCTAAAAAGCCTCTAAAATTCCATAAATAGGCGAAAAATTGTTACTGGGCGTTCATATGGCCTTCCCAGCACTTTTTATCCAAAAAGCAAAAAAGTCGTCAGCGCAGGGCTCGAACCCCTGACCACTAGATTGGTATACCAAGTACTTGCCGACTACACCAAGCTACAGATGGATCCCTTGCCCTGGGGAAGGGCTTTGATGCAGGGTGGCCAAACCTGGCAAAACTTTAAAGCTATTTTTAACAGTGTTCCTGTGGATTTGGGCAAAAATAAATAGCGGTATCGTTATCAGCGTGAAAAATTGCATCTGATAGGCTATTTAGCTAATCGAAGCTGGACTTCGAGCTCGGGAGGTATCCTTGTAAGTACAGTTCCCCCCCCCCCCGCCCAGCCGACCCCCACCTGCCGTATCTCGGCTCCCTGTTCATCTACAGCGGTGTAAAGTATACCAAATACTCGCCAGAGCAAGACGAACATTTTGGTATAGTTTACACACCTGTAGATGAACAGGAAGCCGAGATACAAAAGTTGGGGGCCCGCTGAGCGGGGCGGGGGGGTATGCGCTTTAACCCATGAATCTGGTCTGAGTTCCTAGGGTCACGGGATTAACGGGAAAATTGTTTTGCCCTCTAACTGTCTAGGACCGCAGCCGTATCTGTTTCCGCGTCTCGTTTCAACGGTGCCGAAATTATGTTTCGCCTCAAAAAGATGTTTTCGGTAAAAGAAAATAGTTAATAGTCCTTTTTCAACGATTTCAATGAGCAAAAGTTCAAAACCTTCGGAGTTGAGTTTGTCCTCTAAAGTCAGAATATAATGCACTTGCGTCGAAAAACCGCGATAAGTTAAAAATTATTGAGGCGGAAAAGTCAAATTCAAGTCGAGGATTCGGCCTGCAATTGCTTTTAATTAGCGGCTACGGTTTACTTTACCCCATCCCCCCCAGCCGGAAGTTTTTGGCTATAACTTTTTTATTTTACATTATTATAGGCTCAAAATTAAAACTCTTAGTATATTTTTTGACGCTCTATCGAATGGCGTTGCAAAAATCCCGACAAAATAAGCGAAAATACCGACAACTTAGAGACCCTTCGGCTGTGGGGGGTAAAGTAAACTCTTACCTAATTAGCTTTTAGAACTCTTCCATTTTTCACCAAAGTATGTTTCATCTCAAAAATATTTCCTGGCGAATAGAGAAAACTATTTGATCGGAGAATGATGGAGAAACGGTACCATTCATATCCGACAAGCCCGTGGGCCGTGATGAACGTCGTGTCTATGCCCTGGCGCTGCACACGCCAATCCGCCTGAAAAGTTAAGAATCGATTTTTGGCGATCTCTTCTTTAAACCGTTTTTCGATCATTAAATTAAGCTCAGTAAAAAATAAAACATAGCCTGCGATTAAACTTTTGCCCTTAATTTGAGTTCGTAGGCTAATTAAATCATATACAAACCTCGCAGGAAAGATGATATCGAAAAGTGATTAGCTGATCGCCACCCGGCGCCGCCATATTAAAAGGGAGAGAGTAGAAAATGAAGGTTTTATCAAATGGCTAACCTCCTTGCCGATTTTTTATGCTAATTTTGGCTTGCTTATTTTGTGTGTTGTACCAGCCAGGGTTTGCCGGATTTTCCAGAGCTACTAAAAACCCGCATGAAGCCCTTGTTTTGAGCACCTTTTCGATGTTCTTGTAACTCAAGAATACGTTATGTAATCTATTTAATAAGTTTTTTTATCTGTTGCTGTTATCTGGTTTTTGGCGCCACATCTCAACGCAACACAACTCAAATTTGTTGCCCAAAAATTCTGTTTCATTTCAGATCGGCACGCGCAACCATATTTTCTTAGCATTGAGTCGCATCCCGTATATTCTTCATAAGAAAATTCGTTAAATCCGATATGAAAATATTAAAAATGTTATGAAATGCGACACAATACTTTGTTTCCGCTGAAAATATGAATAGCAACCAAAATTATGTTTCGTCTCCGGTTTAAGTTGCTAAACATTTGGTTCCATTTGATAACTTCAGCAGTTTGTAAACATGTAAAAATTTTGATTTTCTTGTCTTTGCCCATTCAAAAAAAATAAAGCGTTTCGTGATAGTATGTTTCATTTTCGTCTAAATTTCCAGCCGTTTTGGTCCATTTAATCCTTGGCTGATTCCCCCCCACACACACACACACACACCAATCGACGGTTTTTGTGTTTATGCGTGTGTTGAGATGTGCTGAAGAAATGTGTGTATCGTCGGGGTCACAGCTTTAGGACGGGGGTCACAGCTGGGCCCCCAGCCCGAGCGCCACATGTGCGCCCCGCGCACCCCGCGTTGCAGAAGAAATACGGCCACCACACGGCATTCCTTTGCTTTTTTTCTCTATATCTCTCTCCCACTCTCTCTCTCTCTCTCTCTCTCTATCTCTCGCTCTCTGTCTCTCCCCCTCTCTCTCACCCACCAAAGACAGCGAATACTACAAAAAGCCGTGCACTACCCTCGCTTACCATGCCGTAAAAAGATGAGGGCAGCTGGGGACACGCAGCTGGGCATACTGTATGATAAAATACGAGAAGCGCTATACAATTAGATTAACCCCCAGGGTAAGGTATACCGTAAAAATTAAAACACCTTGTCTATACATCCTAGGTCCTGAAGTATATAGGCTAACCGGAAATACATTTTTAGCGCTTTCAAGGCACAGGTAAGGGAAGTATTTGATACTGTGAAAGACTGTGATTATTGGTGATTATTATTCTATACTAAACTGTGGTTCATGTATAACCTAAAAATGAAAGATGATTTTTTTTTTCTGGTTGACTAAATAGCCCGTCAATCTGTTTTGTCGTGAACTTTCCGGACGAACAATTATCGTAAAGCTGCGTTTACCGTATGTTTTAATGATTGAAACATTGAATTTACCCCCAACAACCAATCTTTAAAATGTAAGATTCTTAAACAAAAAAAAGTAAAAACCAACCTTGGGAAGTTTGATTTTATCTTTTTTTTTTATTTTAACACCACAAGGCGGCTTTACTATTCCTAAAGTGAGAAGTTATGACAAAAATACAAAATAAAAATCAAAGTTTTCCGAACATAAATAACCTCCGAAAGTTCCCGCTTATGTACTTTATTTCTATGTTTTACTGAATTCCATTGAGCGAAGCTTTCGCCGCTAGTTAAATAAAAGTATGTTTCACTGAAAAGTATTGATACGAACCTACACACAAATTTAATTGAGTTGATCGGCCCTGTATAATTGCAATGTAATATTTTTTTATAATATTTACAGCAATTCGAAAGCCCGGATTTAATTGATTTAATTTTGCCTTTAATTGATTTAATTTTTCTGGTCGGCTTTTATATAGGCCGTAGATTTATTTTGTAATGTTCAATTATTACCATTATGGTGACTCAGGGTGTCGGTAGATTATGTAGAACAAAATACGACATAACTTGGTGTATGCTTCCCGGACCTCGAATTTTTTCTGGGTTTTTCGTCGCACTCATTTTTTGTGTGTTCCACAAATAATATGAAATCCGAAAATTAGTTACTCGTCAGTCCGCCGTGGAATTAATTTAGGTCCCTTTAATATAATTTTTGCCTTAGATTTATTGAGTTTTAGCCAAATAC